CGATCAACAACTAACAGAGGAAGATATCTGAAGATCAGCGATGGTATATCTCAGTCTTTTACGGTTTTCTCAGAATAACCACTGTTTTGCTTTTAGAAAAAGCAATTAAAATGATTTTATTAGGAAATTGAAATGTAGATTAAATTCACCTTCACTGCGCATGTGATTCTGGCAAAATGTTTAGAAGATATCACAGTTATAATCAATAAGCTTAACCGAAAAAATAGTTTAGTAGCCAGATGCGGCCGTTTTTACTAACAGACAGGCATATGACAAATGTGACAGAAAAAAGATTAGACTTATATCCTTTGTCAGCTGAGCGAAGACAGGCGGATCTCTAGTTATTATTATTTGAATAATTCATTTGAAGGTGTGGTTGAATGAATCAACTTTATACGTAATAATAATTCATCAATATAAATAGTCGTAGCTATTATAATATAGTCCTAATACAAAAGGTGAAACAAGTATTTCCATTTAAATTTAAAGTTAAACAAGTTTGAAACCTTGAGGGCTTTCGTGCGAAACTGTGGTAAAACCCAAAGCAAGTCGCCCACAACAGTGTTGTTACAGATTATGTCTCGCATCGGTTATCTTACAGTTTGTTAACATCACGATAAATATAGCTTCCATTGAACAAAGCAAGCCTTAAGAGGTTAAGGTTAGTTTAGGGATAAATTGAGTGGCGATTAACGTCGATTATAATATATTTATGAGCATAATTATGCAGTATGAGAATTAATGTTTTCGCATGCAAAACTTTGTTTTTAGTTATAGTCATAACAAGTTTTGTTTAGTATTTTTCTGAACAATTAAAACTTAAAATGTTTTAATGTAATCAATTTAAACTAACATAATAAGCGATAATCTTATTTATTGCAAGAGGTTTTGGGGAGGAGGGGTGTCGGGGTGTCGGGTTGTCGGGGTGGCGGTGACCTGTGCGCTGTCCGCTGCATGTCATCAAACGGTTACTTATCGCGCCAAAGTCGGCGACCCGCTCCGCCGCGCCGCCGCGTCGTCCTCGCCCTCGCGCACGACACGTGAGTAGGGTCACCATCATATCATGCAAATTTATAATCCCATCCTCTATTTAAGTAAACCTGTGCAATTTATCGGTTGAACACCAATATAAATGACCAAAAGCGAAAAGTAAACAAATTAACCAGATAGAAACGTATTAAAAATGATCTTCATCCAATGATAATATCATGTAAAAACATACCGACACGTAATTTAAAATTGTTTAATTATTAAATTCTTAAACTATTTTCTGACCGTTGTTTTGTAATGCACATTTTAGTGTAATAAGCAAAACTATTTAAAGTCTAATTCATTTTAAAAAGACAAAATAGCTAACTTAATTATATTGTCCGCATCGTGTGTCGTGTTGTATTTCATTTTATCAATATATATAAAATGTATTCATTGAAATTTGTTTGTGTTATTATAAAAGCATGCGGAATGTTTCCTGTTTATTTTAAAATAGTTTGATACTATTATTAGGCAAAGATGCCGCGTCGTAATCTATAAGTTCTTCGAAATATGAAAAAAATATCGCTCTTCGCTATCAAATTAAACTGGAAGGCAGAGATAATAACGATGCAATAAAATGTGTACACATATATTCATAATATGTTATATATTTATTTGTATACTTTTAAATCTATTAACAGCATTAAAATAATCATGTTACGAGTTAAATTTGTTACCACGATTTTTTCCAAATACCTCAGTAAATGTTACTTCACTGTTTAAAAAAGACGATATAGAGGTCAACTTGAAACATTATCGTATAATAAAATAGCACAAATTATCGAAGCGCAGCTTTGTGTGACGCCGCGCGCAATACTTCCTGTTTGCGGCGCGGCGTGTCCCATTTTTCCTGCGACCACGTGGTCACTCGCACGTGACTCGCCCGATTTACTCTGACGTACATCAAATAACCTAATTAATAAGCCATTAAACAATCCACTTACACATTCGTATAAACAATTACATTCATATCAACCAAGGCTCACATAAATATCTACGAAACTAGCTTTTGCCTGCGACTTCATCCGCGCAGATTTAAAAAATCCTTAATTAGTAGCCTATGTGTTCTTCAAGTGTATATTTTACATCTATCACAAGTTTCATCGAAATCCATGCAACCGTCCTGGTGATTCATGCTTCGTGACAAACATCCAAACACCTCAACATTCGCATTTATAATGTTAGTAAGCTTTAATTTTTTCCAAGAATATATAACAAAAAGTATTGTATCCTGCCAGCGTCAGGTAATGAATGAATTCTTGAAACCACAAATAACTATGATTACTTCTGTATTTGTTTATGCGCTACAGATTTGCACAAGTGCGTCGGAATTGCACGCGCTTAAAAAGACCACATAAATGGAACTTTTGGTGATTCATTCAAATTCAAGGCGACAACAAACATAAATAAAATAGTAAAAGTTGCACGAATATATTGTCCACATTTCTGCGCTCCTCATTGATGACCATACCACTTATACCTGTCCATTATCTACTTCGGAGCAAACTTTCTGCCCTTAGAAGACTTTTTATGACTACGTTTATGCGTCAATCAGCTAGCCTGTTTGTCTCTAAAAAAATCCAGACATCCCATCGTGCTAATTTAATACTTCATTATTTGTTTTAGTTTGCCATGCATCTTAGTGACGTTTTTATAATTCTTTTTGTTAAATATCATTTTTACTTCTACTAATACCATTGTGAATAAAACTTATTTGTCAATGTTAATTAAAACACAGTTAGTGAGTTCGAGTGCTCGCAGCGGACAGCGGACAGCCGACAGCGCGCAGCGGATACGCAATTGGGTTAGGAGTGACGAGCGCAGATGGGCGATAGGGATGGACACGACCCACATGTGGCGTCCATGTACCATTGCTTATGTTACTATGATACAATAACTATAACATACTAACCTCAACATACAACGACATAAATAATTTAACATTTGCTCTGATTTAGTAAAGTGAGGCGCAAGAGATCATTCCAATACTTACATTACCTACTGATGTTTATTGTGGCCGCTATCTGCCGCCCCACTGACATCTGAACCTGCCGCTGCGAAGGATACAAAATGTGCCACTGAGCTGTGAGATACAGCTTGCACAACATTGTCCATACTCTTCTTCATCACATGTTTTACAAATATTCGTAAGAATCTTTAAAGACAACCCAAAATAAAAAAATAAAAATACGAAAGAAAAAACTATCACAAGTATATCTACAAAATGACAACAATAAATTTTAGCGAACAACGCCATCTAGCGGCTAAAATGATATGTCCAAAACCAGAGGTAAAAAAGATCCAATGATCCACATTCCAAAATCAGCAAATCCGTTTAAGCTAGCAAAGCAAACATTAAGTTTGCAAAATATCTAATTTATATGATGAATTCAGTGTCATTTGCCTTTTGTACTCTCGCGTGGGCGATTTCCACGACACCGCGGAAAACTCCTTCACTGTACTTCCACGATCTCGTAAATATAATTTTTATGCGTTATGCTAAAGGTTACAAATACATTTCCGTGCAAACAATGCGACATGACACACAAATAAACAAGCTCGTCGAATTTTTTACAACTTGCAACTTTGCTACATATTTATTGAAAAACCTTCCGAGATATAAATTTTTAACTTAATTTGTTTGTTTATGTACTTGAAGTGGTATTTATATTGAATTGAAATAAAGGTATAATTACTTGGGTACGGTAGAAGAGTGTAAATCAATATTCAATGTTGTAGGAAACTACTGAATATCTCATTATACTAATATTATAAATGCAAATGTTTGGATAGATGGATGACTGTTTATACAAGGTGTCTCCGGAACGTCTCGACGGATTGATGAAATTTGGCACAGATGTAGAAGATAGTCTGGAAGAACATAAAGGTTACTTATTATTCCTTTTTTTAATTTCATGGAGACGGAGTCACAGGCGGCAGCTAGTTTATATAACCATAACTTTAAAAAAACCCGACCGACTAAGGCTCTGAGAGATGAAATAGCGCCATCTATTGGCTACATTATAAAATAAAGTTTTTTTTGTAAACTTCAAATTTCGTCACAATAAGTTAAGTCGTTCAGGCTATATACCGGCGCAAAGGAATTTACATACATACAAATCCATACAAGATCCTTAATCGGATAAAACACATTACCTTCTTTATCAGTCGAGGAGAAATACCGCTGCACTTAAGACGCAATGAAACATTGATGCGTCGCAATATGCAGGCGCTTACATTATCTTATGTCTTACAATTAAAACAATTAAATGGTAAGAAGTGAAAAGGTCACTTAAAATAAACAATTTATTAAAGTACAGGAAGACAATCCAAAATAACTTTACTCAGAGTAAAATTTATTAGTATATTCAACATTTATTATTAAAAAGGCACTTCCACGTTTTTATCTTTTGAAGTTTTTAAATGTTATAGAACATTTATTTAGTTGTTTTCAATACGATAAAGTTCCACTAGTTTTTTCACTATGCAGCTGGGGTCTGATGTTATCATGTCGGCAAATATTTATTACCGTAACTTGTATATTACATTTCTGTGTAACACTTTACACTTTGGCAGAACCATGATGAGCATTTCGATTGTGCATATTGGGTTCTCGCAGAAGACATCCAACATCTGTGGATACACTGAATTGAAACTATATGCAGAGTTCGGAATTGTCAAATGAAACTGAAAAATAAAATAAAACGAAAGCAGTATTATCATTTATACAAATTATATTTATTCTTAAACGATATTATATTTATTGCTAACCTTACATATATAATATCTAAATCTACAACAAAAACACATATCATAAATTAACATAAATAAAGTAACACAACATACATTTTGCACTTTGTTTAAATATAAATAAAAATCACAAATGAAAACAATATTATGAACAAAAGCTCACAATTTATTGATTACATTTATGTATATTGTGTTAAATTAATACAAAGTAACTCATGGTAACTGTTAACATTCAATCTTTGGCATTAAAGTATACAATAAAATACTGTTTGAAAATTTAACTACAACTTATCGGGTGTAAGAATCTATGAGCACCTTATTATTTTGTGAGAATCGTAAGAACAAACACCTTTCCTCGCTCTTATACTGTAAACAATGTTAAAGCCAACATTTCTTACATCTCTAGTTTTTCTTTTTTCGCTTTTAACTTTGTTCACCTGATTTATCTGCTGCTCCATAGTTTCTTGTTCCTTTACCTCTGCGGCGGCATGTTATTGTCGGCCGTGGCGCTAGTGTGCTATAGCGTGTGGCCCATGCCGCTGGCGGTGAGTTTGATCCAGTCGAGGTAAGAGGCGACGCGGGTGTAGACGCCAGGGCGCGCGCGGCGAGCGCAGCCGGAGCCCCAAGACACCACGCCGTGCAGCTGCCAGCGACCAGCCGCGCGGCACGCCAGTGGCCCGCCCGAGTCACCGCGGCAGGCATCCACGCCGCCCGACAGCACTCCTGAAATAATGTACGCAAAATGTAAGTAAACTATCTCTTGGGCATGACCAATAGGCGCTCGGTACTCGTATGCCGTGTGGGATTTAAGCCAAAATAAAATAATTTTATTTAACTACCATAATAAAAGATGTTACCATAAATTCTGTCTAATTCATACCCACCTGCACAAATCATAGAATCGAGAATGGGTTGCTGCCGGCCGCCCAGCACTTGGCTCTTCCGGCACGTGTCCAGGTCCATGAGTGGCACGTCGGCCGCGCGCAACACCGGCGCGAACGTCTCCGTGCCTTCTGCAACCGAAACAAAGCGTGACAATGTGTACGTGGATACAAAAAGCAGTCAGGCTTACATGAATTTTGTCATAAAATTTGAAACATATGTGTATTTATGTTACCAGTTTGGTATCCCCAGCCGCTGACGGAGCACCAGCGGCCGTCGCCCTCCCCCTCCCACGTTGCGGCGTGGTCGGGCAGGCAGATGGGGCGCACGTGAGAGTTGAACTGCATCCCAGCGCCCGACCGGGAGACCAGGATCAGCGCGATGTCGTTGCTGTGTGGACCGTCTGGAACACAGTAACATAGCTTCCTCAGCAAAAGCGTCGGCAGAACGAAAACCACTTTACGAATAGTAATTACTACTACTAATAATGGAAATATTCTATCTACGTCGTTAAATTATAACAAGCGCATACTTTTCCTGAAGTCCGGGTGGAGGACCACCTTCTCGGCGAGGAAGCGGTGCTCGTGCTTGTCCTGCACCTTCAGCCTGTGCTCCCCTACCACTATCCTGATGTGGTCCAGATGCAACGGTTGCTGGAATACAAGTCATACATTCTCGTTAGACAATTTTTAATCGTAGTAATAATTTAACAATGGCTTAATTAATGCTTAATCCAGTCGGTTACCTTGTCGAAGCAGTGCGCGGCGGAGAGGACAAGCCGCGAGGCGATGACAGCGCCCCCGCAGTGGTGCTCGAACGTCAACTTGTCAGGATCCAGCAGCTGCACCTCCACCTGCAACACAACACAATATTTAAACAATTTCAAACAATGTGTACGATATGAAAGTCAAAGGAACTCGGATGACAATCAAGATATGTTGGTACTTAACGAACTGTGGGCGATGATTTAACAAGTAACGCAACTTCTATCAACAATGAACAAGACACTGAAAAATTCCTGTGTATAGATTACTGCCAAGTGTAGAGTGTAAACAAAAGTAAAAAAGTGAAAGTTCAATTATAAGAAATTGCTTTTCGAACATTGCAAAATGGCGGACATATATCAAAAGGTGACGGGCGGTTGGCGCGCTTTTGTATAATTTTGGCATAATGCTTTAGAAGAGGTTAAGTGCAAGACAATTATATATTGATGATGTAAGTTAGTAAGGCAGTGAATTACGCAATTCTTATGGTTTGTAACACATCTGTCTGTGTGGTGGCAATGACAGACGTGCGGCGCGGTCCGGCGTGTGTTGTGACCACTTGACATACAACAACTCATTGAAATTCACGTAATGCAACATTTGAGTTACGAGATATTTACTTCAGCATACGAATGTTGCGTATTCACCGTGGACAAATTGTCAAACAGGCGACAAACAAACTCGTTAACTTTTCTGTGCACCCGAAAGTAATTGTTAGGAATATAGCATAGTGGGATTCACCTCTGATTGACGAAGATAACCGTTTCATATGGAAAATATGAAATTCATGGTTCCTTTCATTTACGTTTTCGAGAGTATCCATTAAGAAACCGTTTTGCAAAGTATAACTCTTTATCCCATTTGTCTGTATTATTTTTTTTATAACAGAAGGGGGCAAACGAGCAACGGGAACACCGAGGTGTTCAACGACGCCCATGGACATCAGCAATACCAGAGGAACCGCAGATGCGTTGCCGACCTTTGAGATGGTGATAAGCTCGCTTCTTGAAGGACCCTAAGTCGTAGCGGTTTGGAAATAACGCCGAGGACAGACCATTCCACAACGCTGCTGTGCGAGGCAGGAAGTTTATATATAAGTTTACATATATTATATCCCTAAGAAGTCTACAGACAGTTGCATTACAGTTTAAAGATTGGAAGTAGCACTGTGGGAAGTGGAGCATTCTGAGATGTGCGAGTTGTGTTACCACACATCGTAAGTATTGTTAAATCATGTAAATGAGATTGCACAATTCGTGATGTTTTAAAATGTGAGCATGCAGCTGGCACTACCACCTCCGCTGCGCCGCACACCATTAATTTCATCGTTGCATTGTTTTGTATCAAATTTTCGCCTGCGCTTTTGTTGCGGTTAAGAAATTTTGCATAAAATAAAAATAATTCCAATGACATAAATTGTTCTCAAATATACTCAGCAGTTATATGTATATTTGCACAGATTTATTGAGCTAAGTAACTTGAATTTTGGAACATTTCATATTGATTTGCAGGAGGCGACGGGAATTTCTGTCGTAACGCATTGCAAGACGAAATGGACAAAAGAAAAGAACACATAACCATAACCGAAAGCATGACACATAAAATTTCAGTCACTTCATCCACCATCACACATACTGAGCAGCATACCAGAGCAGCACAAATATGTCGTGGAAATGACATTCAAGGGAATGAAAATTAAATAGTGTTTAACCCTTTACCTGCCAAGGGTAGGCCCCGTAAGGAGTCTCAGCTCCGCCGACGATCTTGCCAGTCCTGCGCGGACTGAAGTCAACGGTCCTCGTTCCGCACTGCACCGCCTCCGTGTTGCCCCCGGGTCGCCCCGGCCGCACCACGTTCTGGTTCAAATAGTTCATCGAGAAACTGGAGAAAGCCTTGGCCGGCCGCGTCCTATTCTTGTAGAACTCCATGTGATTTATTTGGTTTAGAAAGAAATCCGCAAAGCAAGTGTTTATCAATAACAAATAATTAATTATAATCATAAACATTTTTCCTCACAAAAGTTTCCGGCAAACTTTCACTTGAAACTTGTATGCTTTTTCTTCGTAAATATGGTTATTTTAATTTACGATGAATGCTTAACAAACACTGATCCAGCGATGTTATCAATTTATTTCATTGTGCAAATATCGCGTGCACTCGCCGCGCCGTCCGAAAGCGAAGTGAGGCGCCGCGGCAGGAGATGCGAGCGATTTATTATTTTTGTGGTATTCATTAGAGGTTTAAAAGAGACGAGCACAATGCCACAACACACACGGCAATGTGGGTCACTGGACCGATCTCAAGATGCATCTTATTGTTCATATACTAATTGTATATGTCACACGATTGTCGAGCTTAAACATTCGCTCGATTGTTGAATTAGTTTTGTTAAGAGCCTATAGTTTCGAGGTCAAGGTATTGTGCAGCCATCGTTATAAAGCCCTCAGAATTTAACTAATTAGATAAAGATTGAAAAATTGTGTTGATCTAAACATTCAATTAATATTTGAACAGCAGACATGAGCCAATGTCCTCGTATAAATAAGTAACAAACGCACGATGTGGCTCAAAAGTACGGTTCAAAAATATATTACGACTTTTTTAGTAGACAAAACTATAGCAAACATTATAACAACATACAACTAAATGAGTACCTAAAATAGTCAGTTATCTCGACACAAATTCCATAAGTGGAAACCGTGTGTACCCGCGCGCCGCGCCGCGCCGTGTCGCACCAATGTCACCATTAACATAATCTGCGACGCAACTTCTGTTGCACACAGAGTTGGCACTTTTCTTACATCATTGTACTCAATATATCTTAGATCAGGAACACAAAAAAAAATATTGTATCTAGTTTTCATAAATGTATCAGTCCAGTCGTTGCTGAAATCTACAGCTGCCCAAAAATTGCAAAATTCAGTCGTTTTTTAAAAACCCTCTCTTACACATACATATTTATTGTGCGAAAAATATCGTGACTTCAACTTAAATTATAAACATCATCTGTAAAGTGCAACTTTAAATACAGTATTTCTTATTCCGCACTCGTAAACAACGTTACATCTCGTAGCAAAGTTGTAGACGCTCGTAGTAAATTTGGAACGTACAGGGGAAGTTTCATTTTTGTTTAAATATAAACTGGTTTAACAATTTTTAAATATACGTACGTACTTATTACTTTAGTGCGTCTACAGATATGTGCAAAGATTTATGATAATTACGTATGCATTTGTGTTATTTTTAAAGATAACTAACTGCCTGAAAATGTAAACCATATACATATAATGAAAGTTATTTATACAACATATTATCGGTAACTAATTTATGTATTCATTCGCTCATATATTGTTTACTGATTTACATTTGACATGGTCCTGGCACACATAAACAATATAAACAAACGCCCGCTCGCCTACAGACATCGCCAAATAGCGAAATAAATGCCCAATAGCTGTGATCTCCAAATTATTAAGGTTTTATGAAAACGTTTCGCTCTCTCAATTTTCTGACATTTTCAATCTTTTTCGTAGCTTCGATGTATTTTTTACTTAGAACTAAAATTGACCAAAGATTACGATCACAATATGCTTCTCCATGCTACGCCATTGCGATCTCAATACAACAGTGAGCTGATTGTAAACACTAGACATCTAATAAAGTTTGATTGTTTGTTTGCTGAAATTTTTGATGTTTATACATACATACATTGGTAATCATATTGTTGTATTATTTAACACGTTGTTTCATCGCTAGAATCCGGTTCAGTTCGGTTGGCGGCGGTTGGCGGCGGCTGGCGGCGGCGCCGTGTACCACATCCCCCGCATGCCGACGTTATTACCATATTATCAGTTGTGAGTAACTTTGACCCATAATATCTGTGTAAAGGACACACTGACATGTACTCAGGTGTGCTCGTAACGATAGAAAAAAAGTTTTCCGACACGTGATCTAATTTACTCCCGACCACGCCTGTCTCAACTTACTCTAAATATATTAAGATTAATTATGTATTCAGGGAAAAAGAAAGTAATATTAAGAAAAAAATGTTAACTCATTCTCGCTATTTTATTCATGTCCTGCGGATCATCTTGCAGAAGTATTCCGCGTCTATTCTCTTGAACCAGCCGCAGTGAGTTCGGGCGAGTCCCTAACCTCTCGGTCGGGCTCCGCCACTCCTATTGTCGCACAACTCTTCAACTACTCGTAAATTACAATATTCCTGTATCTGTATTCTGTAGGACCTTGTCTCCCGTTATGGCAATTTCTCGGACAATTATAACATTAAAAAATTATATCAAAAGGGTCAAGAGTAAATATTTGTAACATCTTTACAATCAGAGGAAATCCTAAAACAATGAGATATTTACTACATACAGATGAAATGATGTACGCACGGTACCTACTAGAGCTACGCAATACCGGCTGAGCGTGAATTATGAACAGTTTGTTTGTCAGTCGCTACTAACACAAATAGCTGGGCGAGTGTTTAGTCTCATAATTTGTCGCAACACGAGGTCGCATTGCATCAGACGAGCGCGGCGAGCAGGCGCGCCTCACGCTACATTACTTCCCAGGCCTTCCCTAGGGCCAGGAGGCCTAGGTGAGCTGCAGCGACCTAGAGCCCCTATGCGCCATAAATCATCGCAAATCAAGGGCAAACACTTTCCTCTTAGAAGGTTATCTTACATACGTGGTAACATGCTGGCTATACTAAGTATCATTTATGTTTTCACATCTTTAAAATAAATAATTGTTTGTACTAAAATGAAGAGACTTTTTCCACAACATGTCTTACAACACGTTTACATTTAGTAATACATACATAATGAACATTACACATTCTGTGTCCAATTTTTAAAATAAGAAGATTCGTTGTACAGATATAAAACACGGCATTGAAAACATTTGGAATATAATTGAAACATATAATGCGTCGTAGTACTTTAAGTTTCAGTACTGAGATTATGGATATTTCTATTCCCTATAGCATCCTTATAAGGAGCCTCTATTTCTACATTTCTTCTCTATTCCATAAAAACGCTGATAAAGTGTCTGCAATACGCTGTTTACATATTATATTTCAATAGGAAGCGTCGACGTGCACTTAACATTATGTGAGCCATTGGTAAGTCAAGTTAAATGTCGTGTGTACATTTTGTACAATGTTATATATTTTTCATTGGTTAATTAATGCATATAACAAATGTTGTGAACTCCTCATTGTGCAGGGCATTGTATGCACAAGAAACGTATCACAGATGTGATCTGGTCGCGGTACTGTTAAGTCTCATCCGCACCAAATGTCACTGCATTGAGTCACGCATTGTTGTCGCAACTGGGTCGGCTGGCGGCCGGAGGCTGGCGGCTGGCGGCTGGCGGCTGGCGGCTGGCGTGGTGCAACCCAACAAAGTGCTGTTGTCTTACAGCGAACAGGAAACGTCTCTCTCAAAAGTTTCCAACAATGGCGCCCTTTGATCCATAAAAATGATATTGCACTTCAATAATGTGCTGATAAAAATTAGAAAGCACATTACGAAACGGTGAAATCTCTTGGTCCTCTCATAATGTCAACTGTCAACTGTCAAGTTATGAATGATTTGCGTAATTACAATAAGTATAAGTTAAGTATAACGCGTAATTCTTTTACTGAATATAAAAGGTTAAATATTTTGATTCATGTTTTGTCCGATTCTGTTACATTTAAACATACAGATAGATCTTTGTCAGAGCAAAACTATAAGGTTAATTCATATTAAAAGGGGTCTGTTGTGTAGTAGAGATATATCTTCAGCGTTTCATGATATCAAATTTTCTCGTAAGTTTAATCTACATAAACTAAATTATCTAGTTCCAGTAACGACCTACTTGTATCAACAATAGTTAAACAATTGCTGCTGCCTCATGTAGATGTGTATCTAGTGGAGTTAGACGTTTGTTTCATTGTCGAAAATGTCAGTGTGTCAGTGAGCGTGTAACTGAAGCTATGGGCATTGTATGGGGCTGGGGCGCGTGGGCGACGCGACCACATACTGACGAAAGTGAAATGAGCGAATGTCTAGTGTAAATGATTGTTTAATCTTCCCTCTTTTTCACAATTAGTGATATTAATTCTATTTTTGATCATGAAAACACTAGATCTAAAAATCATTAAGATAACAACAAAGAGGTAGAACAAACTATACGTGTAAACTCTTTTGTTTATAAAAGCTAAATATCCAGCTCTATGTGTGATATCAGGAGATATTTGTAGGTATCATGTGACGGCACGCAATTACTTTAAAGGCCTCGACAGTCAGCACTCAACAGCATCAACAGAGCCATGATTAGGAAGTTATAGTTTCCGATTGTAAAGTTTTTATCAAACCTTCACTTTTTGTACAATATAACTTTTTGCTGTTTGTTTCGCTTCAGGTTTTCAATTAAATTATAAGAACATCGTTATTTATTTATAGACGCAAAGAAAATTATTTACCTATAAATAAGGAATTTAATTTGGCGAATGTGTAATAAAATAGCGAACACAGTTATTATCGCTTATAGAACATGCACATGACATGAAATAAACCACATTTATACATCACTGTTCCGTTCAAAAAACAATGATTGTAAGTGAAGTAAGTTACGAGGAAACTCCTACACATAACGTTTTGGTAAGTTCAGCGTAGAGGTACAGTCAGCAGCACAGTTTACTCACCTGCTCCCGCAGTATTGTAGCCTCTAAAGGCACATAATACAGGTGATTATTGCTTGGTTTGTCTCACAAAAGGTAACGAAACTTATTTAACAAGAGAAGCGGTCCTTTATTGTATTGGACGGTGATCCAATGACCTCGTTAGTACGGTTCTCACAAGCTGTCGCATGATCATCACTAAACAACAACACAGCCCTCTAACGGACTTTTAAATATTATTTATTTAATCGTTACGCCCAACATAAACTACATACAGCAGACGCGCCGGTAACTCATAGTGAGTCGGTTAAAATAACTATCCGTTTATTATCAGTTCTAGCCAAAACTTTCTTAAAATAAATACTATTTCTATGGACTATAACTAAGTGGAGATTATTTAATATCTAGACTATTGATGTAATGTGTTATAATAAAAATAAATAAAAGACAGAGTTTAAAAATATAATTTATTAACTAATCAATTTTGAAGATAGCCTTGGAGATGGTACCGGCCTTGAGGTGCTGCAGCGCCTGCTCGTACTCCGACAGTTTGAACGTCTGCACGCCCAGCTTCTCGTAGTCCAGGTATCTACAGATATTAACACTCATTCATTAGGTACATAAAATACTTTGGTGCCCTGTTTTATAGATAGAGAAGGAAATTAAAATATATTTTGGGATCGGTATAAAGGATCGAACATCGATTCCGGTGGTTTAAGTAGTTACCTGCTGCCCATGGCCTGCAGCCACCCGATAGCCTTGGGGAAGCTGAAGGGGTTGATCTTGACACCGATGATCGTTAGCTCCTTGTCGTAGATTTGGTAAGGATTCATTCTGGACAGAAATACAAAATGCATATATATATTATTTGACAGTGTATCAAGTTAAAAGTTTTGTGGATCATCTACATACGTATGCAGTACGAGTACATCGGCTATATCCAGATTTAGGCTTGTTAATTTGTTTATACACAATACGTACGAGGCTTGATGTGCGGGCGGGCAGCAACCGAACAGCACGTACTTGCCGCCGTGTCTCAAGTAGTTGAAGCTTATCTCCATTACTTTGCCGACGCCTGGAATTTTAAATGACAATTGCATTACTTCAGAAATACGCAAAATAAGCGAATATCTTATGAATTAATTATTACCTGTGCAGTCAATGATGACGTCATACAATTCCTTTTCAGCGGCCAACACGTCGGGTGTGACCAGCCTGAAGCCCGTGTCTGGAATTACGTGTTTTAAAACTACAGAATCTTTAAAAACATATCTAGTTAGATCTAGTTAGTTCTTTAGCATTGAATTGTTTCTATAAGTTATTCTTTCTACCCTAATCGGATGTTACTTATTTACTTTACTATTTGGTTACTTACCGAGCTTCTTGACTATGTCAAGCCTGGCGGTGTTCATCTCTGACACGGTGACGTCGCGGTGGCCGTGGTGGTGCAGAGTGGTCACCCACAGGTTGCCTGGCATTAGGCCACATCACATAAATATTATGACTCACATACCAACTACGTCGACCTTTATTCAGTTACCTAATGTCTTTGTTAACGTTTAAACACAATTTTAAACATGTATCATTTTTTCTATTTATCATTTATAAATCGAAACTGCTAACTGACAATCAATGTAAAATGTTTGTTGCTCGCATCTTTCTACAACGTAGTTTTTCTCACCTATAATGCCAGCGCCCACTATAAGGATCTTGCTGCCCACAGGCAGAGGGGAGGCGCGGTCGAAGCCGTGGGACACGCACGAGTAAGGCTCGCACAGACCAGCTAAATTTTGCAGATAAATTAAAAATATTACTTTATTTTGCCTGACTGAAATTACTTTTAAGAAGTAATGAACAACGAAATTTGACGGCTAAATTAATTCTCAGAAATAAATAAGGAAAAGGTCAATTCCCATGAATCAGCAACTTTGAATTGAAAATTATGAATGGACTGAAATATGGCATAAAATTCTATGGTCTGCTTATGATAAAATAAATTGTCTATGTTTATATTAAGATATTGTAATATTGACCCTGTTCGGTGGTGATCTGTGGCGGCAGGGCGTACACTTGGTCCTGGGGCACGCGCACGTAGCGCGCCCAGCCGCCGTCGCGCCATATGCCCACGGTGCTGTTGATGCCAGCCGTCAGGCAGTACTGGTAGTTGCCGGCGCGGCAGAAGCTGCACAGCGCGCACGCCCTGCAACACACACCAACGACAACACCTCGGTTACATCTTCTGTAGGCTCTTATAAACAGGGATACTAGTAAACCTGGTGTACCGATTTGACGTCTCAAATTTGCTGTGCATGAACAAAAACAAATAACAAAAAAGACGTGTCGCTTAACCCTTTTTTTTTTACAAACAATGAATAAGTTTATAGGTATTGATACTCCAGTTTACCTGTTGGGATCGACGACGACTTTCTGTCCTTTTTTGAAAATGGCGGCCTTCCCCACCTCGTGCACGGTCCCACTGAACTCGTGCCCCAGCGGCAGAGGACGCTCCTTGGAGGCTGGGAACTCACCCTGGGCAACAACACAAACATCACCGATGTATTCTAGATTGATAAAGCTCGGAATTGTTCATTGTTATCCTCCTTTTCCATTGGCCTCATTACCTGAATGATGTGAAGGTCTGTGCCGCAGACTCCAGAGTACTCCACTTTGACAATGACGTCATCGTCGTTAACCAGCTGCGGCATCGGGTACTTGGGGTCGTACTTCAGGGTCAGGGTCTTCCCGTCAAACACCAGTGCCTCCATGATGATAACTATACCTTACAAAGTAGGGACAACTTGGAATGAAGATTATAAATCGACATCGACAATAAATCTTTATGCGCAACAGTAACCGCTTCAATGACAGCCGCAGTCGATGACATTTTATCAATATCCATTCAGTCGTTGTTAAAAATATCTGATGACAAGGCATCCATCTATATAAACTTTCGCAATGATATTATATTTAATCACAAAGTTTTTCTTTACAACTACAATATTGATCATCAAAATTCACAAAACGCAACAAAACATACTGTTTTAAGATAAACTCCAATAAAACATGTTTTGTTAACAACAACATAGTGTCATAATGCATTTGAACAACTATTTACCTCTATTTCATATCACATAACAAGTTTGTCAATATTAAGTACAACAGTTAAAGGTGTAATAACACATGTACGTCCACTGCGAGACATACAGACAGACACACTCGCAGTGTACAGACAGACGCGAGGATGTTCTATTGTAATCAATCTATGACATCAACTCGATCCTACTGCCCTACATACAGGCCACATTTAAATAAAATATATCAACTTTATATAAATACATCTTTCTCCGATTAAACGCAGACTTCTGGCTTTTATATTAGGATAAGTTTATTTTGTTTGTGTTTATTTTGTACCAAATAAATCTTCCACGATTGTTGTTGTCGGTGTCGATGTTAACCTGAACTCTTGACATTGAAACATTTATTTGATAACAATAAAGTGTTTTACACGATTAGATAACAAGGTTACAGTAATGTACATATGTACATATGTACGTACATACGCGCACTACTATTACATTTATAAGATGATAAATATAATCTGTATTATTAAATTTATTACTATAATAATTTAAAAGCATTTCGTTTGTTATCAAACAGACTGCTATAGCCGCCTGGCTCCTCTTAAAATAATCACTTAGCTACTATACTATAAGGTAAACATTAAAGTTATTTAAGAGTTGCGAACTATTATTACATAGTTTCTCTTAAGTCTATTTAAACTAACAAACTTCTTACGTTCGTTCTTCTTCTTACTTACCAATATGTATAATATTATAAATGGGAAAGTTTAGATGGATGTGAGTTAGAAGGTAACGGCTCTAGAGACAGAACGGCTGCATGGATCTCACTAAAATTGGCATATATTATATAGAACATGCCCGGAAGGAGGCTACCTATTAAGTTTATATTTAAATTCCACGCGTTCAGAGTCGCGGGCGACAGCTAGTCATGTTATACGTAATCGTATCGTAAATATATCTGCGCGGACATTTCGGATTATATTGTTTTGACCTAAGACATACATACATACATACATACATACATAAGTAGAGGCAATCTCTTGATAATAAAGTATCATTGCTACTTCTACGAACAATATAAACATGCAACATTCTTAAAGGTATTATATCACACGTGCTTAGTAATTACATAATGGCACAAAATATTATAATTCTTCCTATATCTTATTTTAATACTCGTAGCTCTCAAATGTATACATACGCTCCTAGATTTGAAACTGTTCTTGCATGGTTTTAAATTCATTTTAAAGTATTGATTATTTACCTTATATTCAAAATAATACATCAGTATTTTTCGGAAATGCTATAGATATTATAATTACTATAATAGTTTATTTGCACCACTCTAGTATTTATTCAAAAGCAAATTTTAGAATATTCAAGGAAACTAAATTGTAGTTCAAATTATCGGATATATTTTTTAACTTAACAGTTGCATACATTTTGAATGTATTATGATTATTCCTAAAAGCATTGAGTTATATGTAACTTCGAATTTTAATTAATGGTAGAATTTCTAAACAATGTGTGACCACTGGTTCTACCAAATCTTCACAATAATTCCGACACTGTGACGGACTTCCGGAGTATCATAGATAAAAAACACATACCTGACTGGGAACCGGTGGCGCGTGTAAAGTGTAGGAGACTCTGCGTCCGAGTGCAACCCAGATGATAACGTACCCCTCGCAATGCCCGGCTAGGGTGACCAGGCTACCATAGAAGCCAGGAGAAAACTTAATGATGCATATTTTCAGAAGATAAATTAAAAAATCTCCGGCAGTTAGGTAGACCGGTTCTTTGGTTAGTGGCGACCTCAGCAGCGGCCTAAATGGCAATAACTTCACATGTAATTCTATAAAAAAAACAGGTATATAAAAACAAAAATATTTTTGGTATATTATCTCCTGTGCATTCCTTAACCCCTGTTCAGATTGTAATAACACTTTTATATGTATAAATGTATTCGTGACCATATGTTGGACACCCTAAACTAGATGAATCTATTTCAATAATTTGGTGGCAAGTTAAAAGGTCGACGTAAATTGTCCCCGTCAATGAATTCATGCATACACATACACATAAGACGATAAAAACTTCAGAAATACATCGTTTTAATCCCACTTTAGTCTACGTGAAGAAAAGGCAACAAATGAATCTTCTGCTCCTTGCTAACATTTGGCTACCATCATGATAATTCACTGGAAAACAGAATTGTTAGCAAAAATAAAATAGTAATAAAAAATTAAGCCGATATTAAAGATTAACGCTTATCAAAATGTGGGCTGTCAAATACATAATGGTTTTATCAACAAAGTTTATTAGATATTTTTTGTTTTTAAGAATTGCCGATGCTCGAAGAAGCTAGCAGTCATCCGTCGAGGTCTAGGTCGCGGGTTCCTATTCGGTCGGCCGGCATGACGATAATTGTAGTTAATTATCATTATTGAATTAGTATTGCATGACAGTCAATACTACTGTCAAACTTCCCGTCAGATTTACGTGCAAAAGAAAACAAAGCATACAATATCTTCAAACGTAGGCATTATGCATTTTACAAAATACCAGGGACCCGATCCGGCTTCAGCCGGGTGGCATCTCTGTCGGCGCATGATTAAAATATCCAGTAATAAATATAGTGTAGCTTCCCAACTGTGCACATTTCTTTCAAATAGGTTCAATTGTTTTTGAACCTACTAAACAAACAATCATTAGTTTTCGAAAAAAAAATTGTTTTACAATGTGATATAGCGACATCTAGTAGTGGAATATAAAAATCATAAGCATTGCACTTGAATGAATAGAGATGTCACTGTTATTTTTGTTCGCTGTTTCTTGATGTTAAAAATTAAAATTTTCGAATAATTTATTATCATATACCTATTATTTAAACCCTAACAATATGGCTATAGGCTATTAAATTTGATACACGATTATCAATTGTTGTCAATGATCTACCATAATCAGGCAACACTGAAGCGTTTGTTCTGTCACTGTCACGCATCCGTTCTTTGTTCATCGTTCATTACGTTCTTAATCTGCACGCTCACTCACTTAAAAGTTTGTCATTGGTTGCGAAGTCGTGATTCTTCCATTCAATTCAATTTCAATCAAAACGAAACGAAAGTTGTCTGTTGTGAGTTGTGTGGTGAAGCGTTGTTTGCAATGGCGTTTTTAAATTTAAAATACGTACAAATAATACTATGTTTAGCAACAGTTGGTGAGTTAATATTTATTCTTTTTATATACTAGATCACACTATGCCCTATTTTGTGTACTTCAAAATTTACAACGGTAAGTTGCCGCTTCGTGAGCAAGTATCTTTTGCGTTACACACAATCTTCAATTGTTTACCGCCGCGGACTGCGGACACGTAACGGCTGACAGACACACCCTTAAAAACACGTTCTTTTGTTTTTAAATTTTTAATTTCCTTATATCCAGCTCCATGAACACTAATTTAATATAAACATCAAATTAATTAGTAACTTGAAGGTGCCACAGTTTGCCCATTAACTTTATGAGAAGTAAAAAAAAAAGAAATTTTGGTGTGAAAAAAATTAGTTCTCAAAAAAGACTTTTTGGAAAACGTGCATTTAATTAACGCCTCAGGTTCTTAATTTTAACGAAAAATTGACTCAATTTTTTGCCATGAATTGCAAAAGAAGTGACACTTGTCTTGAACATAATATCTTTTCTCGGTTTTTTTCTAAGAGTATAAGAGGTATTGTTGTAACGTTATACAAGCATCAAGACAATGGTTTTAACATTTTTGTTGAAATATAACACTTGAAAAACATAAATCAAATTTTAAAAGTTTAGTCTTACTTATATAAGTTCTCAAGTGTCACTCAGAACTTTTATTTAACATCCATTAAAAGGAAAATTGTCTTAGTTGTCCTTAGTTTGTTCTTAGTAAGGTCAGGCTGGTGGTGGTCAACAAGTAGATGCTGTGACTCGTCTTACAACACATCTCCACGCTTTGTCTCTATCCGTAGTTAATTTGTCTCACTTAAGTTCTGCATTTGTTTCCAAATATACTCTGTTATAAATAAATAGTACATTTTATATTTAGCAAACTGTGATTTTACATTTACAATTTGTTGCACCAAATCCACATTGATATTTTATTTTATATTTTTGTATGTTTTTAGCAAAAATATGTTTTACTATTAGAGTGTTACATTATCTAATAAATGTGCACTTATTTATTATAAAATATATGTAGTTGGAAGCAGTTAAGATGGAATTTATTAAGCAACATAAAGCACATAATACATTTCTCAGGGTTTAAATACTGCAATGTGTTATTCGGTTCATAAAACCACTCATAATTTATCAATTCTAATAATTGTGGCTTAGTTTCACTATAACTCTAGCTGCTACATCACACTCATCTGGTAACTAATTCTACCCTTAGTAAAGATCCAGTATTATAAATCTACACTTATAACTGTTTAAGTAATCATTTAACAAGTGGCAGTATGGTTCAGAAAATTAATGTTACAAATTGCACACATAATAAAGTACGACATTTAAATGAACACACTAAAAATTTCGTCTTTCAAGTGTGTTCGCAAACCACCCTTAAGTCAGATAGATCACACAACTGCAGTAACATAGGGTTTGAAGGGGTGAAACCGGCCACTATAGTTGGCCAATGGCGCGCGGAGGGGTGCGGGGTGCTTGCCGGCACACAATTTGTCTGCAACCTACCCTCCTTGCGTTGTGTTTGTCAAATTTGGAGCAATTACCTTGTCCGTTTTATAACGTAAAATAACTACGTACATTTAAAAATTAATGCAATAAGGGTTCTAAAAAATTTCTTATTTTCTTTTAGTTATGTGAAAGGAAGATGTTTATTTAACTGTTTCCTTATCATTTATGTATTTTATATGTATATTGTAATGATATATATTATTGTATAAGCCATTGCCACATATTACCATCGAGCTGAACATTGAAATTGCAAAATGGCAGGTATCTCCATACCTTCATACCAAATACGTGACTAAGTACGAGTTTTTAGCACTAACTCATCACTTGTAAAGATGCAATTACTTGTAGCCATTACAATAATAATAATAAACTATTATAATATAAATATATAGCACAAGACAAAGTGATTATTGTATTCAGAATGTATATTGTAAAGTCAGATGAATTGTGCTCAAGCAACAGAATGTTTGTACGAATGTTAGGAAATGCCTTTTATGCGATTTCGTAAAATATCAGTTGCAAAGTTCATTGGATTCGTAGCAAAGCTGTAATTAGTTAGCGAGCAAAAAGCTTTAACAAAACGGGGAAGAGGGAAGTTGGTTGCCGGGTGAGCACGTTGTCAGTTACCTCGCCCTCCTGCTCTCCACCCCGCACCCGCTTCTGGAAGCGTATTATCAGTAATTCGTACTCGGCAGGGAGGGAGGCGCGCCCCCTCTTTGCCTTTTCTTTGCAACTGTTACAAAAGAGAAAGTCGGCATTATGTAAATTAACTTTAGAAACAAAGTAAGTTTCCGTTTAAAACTTTATAAAGCCTTCAAAATGTTAACACACTATTTAATCCAGTCAGGCCAGCAGTACCGCCTCACCATACATCTCAATGATCTGACATCGCGCAAGGGCATTACTAAACTCATCTAATGTATCACAAACACCATATTCTGTCACTAAGCATAATTTACTTGTTCATTTCTACAGCACGTGGTCTGCGCACGCCGACGATTTCGCACATAACTCAAGAGCAGATCCGTGACATCGGCGGGCAGGTGGACCTCGATTGCTCCGTGCACTATGCGCAGGACTACCCCGTGCTGTGGGTGAGTGCACACTTTTATGTTAATGTACTCGTATTACTTGAAGTATGATGCATATTTAAAAGTGATGTGTAATAATTACTTAGTGGGTTGAAACAAACCTCTATGAGTACACGGATAGCCTTCAGTTGTCTCGTGACCGGCAATTGAATACGTTCATCGTCCTGCCTTACGCAAAAAAGCAGGTTATTTGATTCTCTGAACCATAGAATGGTGTGGAGTTAGCTGGGATTATTAACTATATAAATTTTATACATCTTATTCAAGTATAATTTTTACATAATGTAATTTTAAAGTCTAATTTAGACTTGCCAAAACCATTTACCTCCGGATGCATTGCAGCATGTTACACGTGAAAACACTCCGTGCAGCTTTTTTATGTGTGAGGGGCGCACACCCCCAGCGCACCCCGCACCCGACGCACTCGTCGCGCACACCTGCCTGCTGCTTTTGTCTCTGGGGAAATATATAAACGGGATATTTTCACCGTCGAATCTACCCACCATAGATTTCCTCATCCGATATATAATTCAAAGATTCGACGGAAAAAAAAGAAAAAATGTATGTAGGAATAACTTCCAATCAAAACCAGTAAATTAAATATAATTTTTAAGGTGACACTTTAATGAATGTAGTATATAAACTTCCTACCAAAATTGTGCCAAAAACGGTCTTTACATTAATGTGCAGGGTGATCTTTATGCAGTGTCACGCTGGCCGCATTTACTGCAGCATTGCGCTCGCTGCATTGCGGTTGCGGCATGTCCCCTACCCTGTGCATCGTGCTGTCTGCCGACAACAATACTTTACTATTTATAGACATTTTAACACTTACTAAAATGGTACAAACTTTAATGTAGCGTACTGCTCTATCCTCTGAATATGGTTGCACAATTATCATTTTTTTCTCTTAAAGCAACAACATAAAACTAATAATAATTCAATGTCATGATGCCATTGAAAATAACTAAAGAACACATCAATTATCCATACCTAACATAGTCAAAAAAGGGCAATTAGAGAAAATAAATTTGCATTCCTATAACCTAGCTACGACATCACAAATTAAACGTTTCGTTTCGATACCTGTGTCATTTTCGTAACAACATTTAGTATTCATTGCACGTAAAACTCCTGTAATACAATTTCCTCCCCCACATTTAAATGGAGCCCTCGGATTGAGAGGTATCGCCTGCCCCCTGCCCCCTGCCCCCCGTGCCTGCCCACGCCCACGCCCAGGCCGATGTGTATGTCGATGCGTCTATAAGGGTATTGACAGAATCGAGTGATTACCTCTACCCGACCTTCTTTGTCTGTTTGTTTGTATACACTCGGTCATGTTGTTTGATATGTATTTAATCTCATTTAGCATTAATACCATGTCAATACAACTCTTCAATTAATGATTTTTTTATCGCTTATAATGTTCTTTCGCTTTTATCGTTTATAATCGCTTTCTCTCCTCACTATTGTCAATCTCTAGGCGCTTTTATCTACTGTGTGCCTGCCAACGCGTCTGCAATGTAGGTATTTGCTTATAGGGGTTACTGCACTTCAAGTAACCATTTTCATATTAAGTAAAGATTTTTATACATCTGCGAAAGTACTTCGAAACAACCTCCTCCTACCTCTAGTTGAGTAAAAAAAATATAAATGAAATAAACTAGCAGAGTGTAGTGTGCCACATTAGTTGATGAGTAAATCCCTTGCGAGCTCGGTCAGTACAGCACTTAGGCCGTCTAAGTATCGGAAAGCTGACGCCGAGTCTCTGTTTGTAACTACCGCAACATTACTAACAATATGCATGACACTCACAGTATGCACTCGCTATATCTTTCTGATATATTCCTTGTCAACTGTAAATGTAACTTTTTAACCCAGACTCAGTAAGGCTGGATGAATGTGCGTTCCACCTTTTTTATGGCATCTTTTTTATTGTAACTTGCTTGGTATTTATATTTAGCGTTATCACTTTCTACATACAAAGTTCAAGTAATAATGTAGTACAGAACAATAACAAGTTATCACGGTCACGGTACAACAATAACATATGAGAGATAGCTTTTAGCCCGGGTTATCTTAATAGGTATTCATTGTGGAGTAAATCATTTCTTTCTCCGACAAATTGAACATAACGAAACTTGTTGAATAAAAAGAACAATTTTACTTGGCTTCACTAAAATACCAAAGAATGTACAAATATGTATGTTTTACACTAAACATACTAAACTCCCTTTAAGTCTCAAAGGTTACAACTATCAACTAGGCCACGATAAATAAAAACAAATTATTAGGAAGCCGTTGAAACCACGTTAAAATAAAACGGAGATAATATTTCCGGACTACACATCTGGAATCAAAATGCACATGCATCGAATATTATAAAATTGTTGTTTTGTTTTATCTTTATCAAGTCGACAGCTATGATCGTAGCCCGCAGTAGCGAGCGATCTGCACACGTAACCTCATCACCACTTAACATTGTATCTTGTTCCAACTTACACCGCATCGAGGTTCTAAAATAACTGCTCTATGTCGCTTATTATAGCGATATTAATATGCAAACTTTAATCATTTTTTATCTAGCTGTGCTTCGCAGAGTTGGCTGCAGTAACCTTAGCGCGCATACTCAATCTTTCTGCTTTCTCGAGGGTTACAGCGTAATAAATAGTTTATAAATTTCGTTAATAGTTGCGCCGTTCTACAGAATATGCATTTCTCCGATTAATTTAGTACTTTCTACTTCATCACGTTCAAACTAATTTTTCAAGTTTGTTTTGATAGTATGTAACTTCGTCAACATGTTTCTCTCCCTTTTTAGAAACTATTAAACTAGTGTAACGAACATCATACGACAAAAAGGCGATGACTACGTTTCAAATAAACGACGGACGTCTCATTACTATTATAGAAGTGGGAAATGAAAGTTAAATATCGAAACAAACTGGGAATTGCTAAGGAATTTACATAAGTACGTATGTTCATACGATTCTCGTAATGAGGGCAAGGGGCACCTCAAGTAGTTTTAGCTCGCTGGTGCGCGCCGGCCGCTGTGTAGAGGTGGGGTGAGATCTCCCTCTGTCACCACACCCTCGTGCAACCCTTTTGATGTGGTACACGAGTTCGGAACGATTATTACAAAACCATGTAGCAGGTACTACCTTGTTGTCTTAATAAAGTGGAAATAAGATGAATAGATTATTTTAGAGGGGAGAACTAAGCGATTTGTACCTGCTCACATTTTAATAAGTACATGACAAAGACAACCTGCTAATAGTCCTAGAAATGTGACTGAAATTGAACCAGCATTATATAATGTTGTTTTTGAAATGGTCACTTTTTGTTTCATGTATAGAGAGGTTACTCTTCGATATTTTATATTATATCATTAAGCCAAGTATAGTTTTACTACGAATGTAGTATGTGTGAATAAAGATAAAGCTTTTAAAACGTTTGAATGTAAAAATATCAGCATTTATAGCATACACCGACTTGGATGAGATGTGACGGTCATTTCTAAGCGTGCATTCACCACACTTTTTACACCGAGTATAATAGAATCTTTAGAAACGAAAACGTCTCCGACCTTTACAATTTTTGAGACGCGGGGCCGAGCACCAACCGGCTTCATAGATGATGGAAGCATCATCTATGAAGATAGAATATATAGAAGTATACATGTAACTGGAGCATCACATTATGTATCTATATACAGAGTACAATATATTCCGTGAGTAGCGTATATATGACTAATTATTGGATGCGTGTGTTGCAGATGAAGTACGACCGGCAGAAGACGACGGAGGCGCTGCCGCTCTCCTCCAACTCGGGCCTCATCATCCGCGACTCGCGCTTCTCCATGCGCTTTGACGCCGCCTCCGCCACATACACGCTCTCGGTCAGCCGCACTCACACGCACACCGACCTGCAGCCTGCGCTGTGTCACACCTCGCACGCGAACTGACCGGTGTCCATGGTGTTACAGATCAAGGACATTCAGGAGACGGACGCGGGCTGGTACCAGTGCCAGGTGCTGCTCTCCGTCAGCAACAAGATCACGGCGGAGGTGGAGCTGCAGGTGCGCCGCCCCCCGGTCATCTCCGACAACTCCACGCGCTCCCTCGTCGCCAGCGAGGGCGAGAGTGAGTCACGCGCCATTAAATCTACTACACCGATTCTAGCTTCTCATTCTGCATCCGGCTAAAGTAACGTCAAATCGTTCCAGGCGCACAGATGGAGTGCTACGCCGGAGGGTTCCCGCCACCGAAGATATCCTGGCGCAGGGAGAACAACGCCATTCTGCCCACCGGTGGTTCTATATACAGGTAAAGTTCTCGTGTCAACTATACGAACTGCTAACAACAAAAATACCTTTATACAAATTGTAAATAAACGTATCTGTGTGTGTGCGCAGGGGCAACATCCTGAAGCTGAACTCTGTGCACAAGGAGGACCGCGGCACGTACTACTGCGTGGCTGAGAACGGGGTGGGCAAGGGCGCGCGTCGCAACATCAACCTCGAGGTGGAGTTCGCGCCCGTCGTCACCGTGCCCCGCCCCCGCCTCGGACAGGTACCGCCCCCACCTCCACCTCCACCACACCACACCACACCCCACACTCCGCGGGTGTCAACCTGTATCTCCTCTGTGCAGGCGCTGCAATACGACATGGACCTGGAGTGTCACGTGGAGGCGTACCCGCCGCCCGCCATCTCCTGGCTCAAGGACGAGGTGCAGCTCTCCAACAACCAGCACTACAGGTACCCGCCTCACTCGCCTCACTCGCCTCACCTGTCTTACTGGCAGAGTGCGGGGTGCGAGGTGCACTAGAGCTAACGGTGTGTCATGTGTCTGTGCGCAGGATCTCGCACTTCGCGACGGCGGACGAGTTCACGGACACGACTCTGCGAGTCATCACGATAGAGAAGCGGCAGTACGGCCTCTTCACCTGCAAGGCGCAGAACAAGCTCGGCACCGACGAGGGACAGGTCCAGCTCTTCGGTCAGTACACGCTCCTCGTCCGGCACCTTCCTCTCATTAACTTATTAAAGTTAAACTTTGCATAGACTTAGAGTCTGTAGTGTAATGAATGAGTTAGCGCTTTGTCTGTATGAGCTCGGTGCTGGCTGAGGGTGCTGAAGGTGCAGCAGCGCGAGCAGCGTAGTTGTCGTTGTGTGGTGAGTGCATGCTCGCTGCAGCATCGTGTCGTGTTGCATTGTAGAGACGATAATCCCCGTGTGCCCGCCCGCCTGCGGCCAGGCCCGCTACAGCAGCGCCGCGCCCCCCGCCCTGGCCGCCCCCCACACCGCCCTGGCCGCCGCCGCCGCCGCCCTGGCCGCCCTGGCCGCCGCCAGGTGAGCGCTCGTCCCCACATTTCTCTGTAGTACTACTTGTTGAACTTAAACATTTGCTGCATGTATTTTCTAAGTAGGATTGTGATTGAAACGATATTTAGCATTCGCTACAAACAGTTGGGGGTATCGTAAGGATACGGAACACAGAGGATGTACATTTGCTTGCAGAGTCATCAATCCCGGACATTAACTACCCGGGTCTACGGCCCGACCCGCAGCTGTACGGCGCCGCGCCCCGCACACCCCTCACCCTCACCCACACCCTCACCCTCCTCCTCCTCCTCCTCCTCCTCCTCCTCACTGTACTTCACTGAACATATGGAACTAATGACCTACACCTGCACCACTTCACTTCACTTACAGGCGGAGAATCAAATTAATGTTAGTATAAAAATATTTTTGCTCACGTAAGCTTTATATTTGTTTGAAAAAGTCTACCGAATGAATTAAAAATATAAATGTTCTCAATTAAATAACTCTGTCTCTCTCTCTCTCACTGTATCTCTTACACATATATATATATATATATATATATATATATATATATATATATATATATATATATATGTGTTATATATGAAAGTACAAAGAATTCAATGAAGTGATACATTTTACACAATAATCATAAATATAGAAAAATATATAAATGTGTTTATGAAAGTAAAGAATAGAAGTATTTAAATATCGTAGAGACAGAAACTACAGTTTAAAATATAAAAACAAATCTATATGAAATATGTTGATATATCATATAGTATTACAAAATGAATGTGGTCTTTACTTTTTCTTAAAACATGTCATTTTGGCAGCTTCACTTTTTGAATCCGCCATGTTTGAACTGTAACAAAAATGGCGGACTGTATTGCACGAGATGCAATTCAAAGTAATTTATTTTGTTGTAGGTAACATTAGTTACGTAAGTTTAACTATTTTGTTTTCTTTTTCTCTAATGTTTAATTGATCTGATTTATCTACATTTTATTTGTAACAATTGACTCTTAATCTGAGGTAAAGATGATATAATTTTCTCAATATATTTATGAACATTGTATGTACTGTGTGTGTGTAGTACGGTGTGAGGCTGATTTTTTATATACAATTGAATCTTTTATAGAAATAATTTTGAATGACATCACATTTAGAGATTTACAATTTATTATAGAACTTAGGATTATTGTATTGTGAATAAGAATAGAATAGAAAACTCGGGACTCCAGAACATTCATATGAATTCTTTAAGAATAATACCTTTCAAATTAAAATAACAAGATGTTTGTTAATAAAAGTGGGGTGAGTTTGAGTTGATGATGATGATGATATAGAATATAGAATACCTGTAAGTCTGCATGTGTACGTGTACATACGCATGTGTCAATGTAGAATATCTCGTCGTCTACTTTCATACTTTTGTACCGATCATATTGTGACTATCGCAAAATATCCTCACCGTTATTTGTGTCGAAAACATTTTTTTTATATATCTGTAAGATTGCTTCATTTAATGCGATACAATTTTAATTTTAAATATATTTGTTTACTTTCTTGTTTCAATTTGTCATTTACTCATAAGAATTGAAGCTTATCATTGTATAACATTTAGTTGCATTTATAAAGATTTTTGTAATTTAAATAGATACGCCATTTGTTGTGAACGATCTGATGGACAAAGGTTTCTGAATTTCTTATAATTTTTCATGTGAATAGCTTAACATTTACGATGAAGTGATGTTTTTACCAAATAATGATAACAATGTAAGTGCCACGCTCCACACCATATTGTTAAATAACTAAACCGTACCCTCATCTCTCTGTCTCTCTGCAACAATCACTTTCTCAATAGAAATTAATTGAAGTAAAATTATCTTTTAATATGCAATGTTACCGAAAAATGTACCATTTTTGTAATTTTTCTTTTATAATGGCAAATAAGCAAGCGATCGCTGAACTTGGCCAAACGGTGAAGCAACGCCGCCCATACGCCCAGATCAATTGCCTAATTTTAATTGACGGAGGAAGAGACACATAGAAGGAGAATATTTCCCCTTCCTATGTGTCACCTTCCCATACTTTCCTTAAAGAAAAGGGTGGGAAGGGAAAGAAGACTATTGACGATTGTTCTTGTATTGACAAAGTGCGGGGTACAGTTACAATAAAATTATATCATAAGTGAAATCCACCAAATAACTATCCGTATATTATATATATGTATATATATAGCTAGTAATTATAAGCAAACATTGACAGTTTATCATTAATCTGTTCACAAATATTGACAATATCAATGGATGAATGAATGAATGGATGGCCTCCAATATTATTATAACTAATAAACATTTTGTAAAATCTTGTAAGTCAATAAAATTAATTAGTCGTAGGATATTTTAGCAAAGTCTCGAGAGCATTTCATGAAGCGGAAATTTTATATTGAATTTATAAGACATTCCAACAAACTTTTGTATTTTAAACTTTTACACCTCACTTGATGTTTTGACTGATTTTTTATTTGACTGAAATATTCCATCCATATTTTTTTTAATTTAAGATCCAGTTTACCCCCTTTTGGGTTGTAAACACATAATAGCTAGAACTGTAAGTAAGGCAGCTACATCACTTTCTAATATATTTACATGTAATTATTTTTTGTATCTTTATAATTTGAATAACAAAATGTCGTTTAACTATAAATACGGATTTGTTTGTAATGCAATGAACTTTATTTAGTGTGTGAACAAGTTTTGCTTTGTAGCTCATCGCGAGAATCTCACGTGTTATAATTATTTGCCATTTCCATTTGTTAGTGTAGTTTTGTTTAAATAAATAAATTAAAATGCAAGTTTTTTACTTTATATTTGTAATTATAAAATAATAATCCCCCGACTTCATATATATTGTAATATAGTGTACGTCACCCCGCGATAGTGAAGCTTCCCAACAAACTTCATATCCGTTCACTAGTTTCTCAGCGTACTCAATGTGTACAAAATGAAACTGATTGATCATATCATCTGTCTCAATGAAACAAAATTAACTAAAAATACCTTTATTCAATTAGGAAAATATTAGCAGTCTGTATCACAAAGCAAGAGTCATAAAAACTTACTTTCATGTAATTTGTGTGAGTATATATTTGTTCATTAAAATTATTTACTAATAGTAAGGGCAGTATAGTGTACTTGCCAAACCTTTTACAATTTTAAAATGATAGGACAAACTGTTGGACAAAGATAAATCACAACACAAAATATGATGTAAACATACTTGTTCCATAATGCATCAGAAATAATTAACTCTTCATAATAAAGTCTTCAAAAACATTATAAAATCTTCCCATGGACAAAATCCACTTTTATCAACTTTACAACTTTTTAACTCCAACTTTATAAACTGAGGAGGACTTTCTAATGTCAAATTTAAGCCGTCCCTCAGCTGTTCAGTTGACTGATACACATAATTCACTTTTAAAAAGTTCTTCTCACTGTTACTATCGTACCATTTCTGAAACACAAGTTTACCACCGACTGGACTCTTTTCAAATTGTTTATGTAATGTAAAAGCTTTGAAATTCATGCTATTCAAAACTGTGAGAATGTTTGCATCGTGACCCATCACCAATGTCACTTTTGGATTTTCCTTTTTGTTAATAAATACATCTGACATGTATTTTATGAGAGGAGAGGCAATGTCTTTTGCAACAAGTGTCGTGTTAAAAATAACATCGTGATAACCCTTGCTTATCGCCATTATCAGCTGCCACTGCGTGTCGTCACTTATCAAATCCCAGGCCACATCTTGCATAGGAAAACCTTCGTAATATGACATTACAAAAGAGTCAATGGCCGACTTGGCCACTTTGAGAGGCCCCAAAATATTTGGTTTGTACCCTATATTTAATGCAATACTATTTTCATCTGCACATAAGTCACATTCCTTTTTTACTTTGCATTGCACAGAATCTCTGTAGTCTAAAATATTTTCTATAAAAATTAATGAATTGTTCAATGTTAAATGTTTGAGTCTGGCCTCCATTTCCTTACGGGCAACAGTCCTGAAATGTACAGTGGTGTTGTGAATCACAGGATTGAACACCGGATCTGACTCACCTTTAAAATGTACTTTGACACTGCAATTAGGAAATGCTTTCTCTACAAATGACTTTGCGGAAGCTTTTGTTCTCTGTTTTGCATTAGCATATGCATAGAATTTATCTTCTGTTGGACATGTGCCATCCAGCAACCCCTCCTTTTGTAACCAGGCTGCAAAGTACTGGCCCATGCGGCCCTCTAACAAGGCACCTTTGGCGGTCAGGTATCCACTTTTTACATTCCAGCTCGGCCATGGCTTGGGACTTAACTCGTTTAAATTTTTAGATAACGGCGTTCGCACATTATGTCTGCTTAAAATAACAACTTGTCTCAATGAATATGAACTCTCCACTGAATTCAAACATAAAACACAAACAACAAATATTAATTTTGTAAACATTTTAAAATGACAATCGGAGTCTGGCACATTCACAACGCGCCAGTTACAATCTCTCGTAAACTGCAAACGAATAGCTTTAGCGCCACTGCACGTATTAAAATAATATTCCTACGTAACATCATTGTGTAAGAACTAAATTAGGACTTGTTTAATGTTAAAGTGTGTTCAAAGTTTTTGCGCAACTAGCACTATTTACTTACCATTTTCCATTTATGTAAGGACGAATGATTTGAGGATTTGAATATCAGTTTCAATATTAAACTAAAACATTTGCACGATGACTTTCGGCTTTCTTTTATATAATTAATACTTACGTTTTTTGAATGATTGGTTGGTTAAATTCTTATAAGCATGCAATTGCAAGCCGGTGCCAAAAACAATAAACGCAGAAACGGATTTTTGTTTACATAGCTCCACGACATTGACACTTGACATTTCACAAGCATTTTCATTTCTCATTCTTCAAACTTCAGACAAAACACAGCTAATCAGCCATCTGTCATAAAAAGACAAAGCGGCAAAATAAAGGATAAAGGTAGACACACACTGACACTTATTAGACCGCTTAAGTTAATATTGAAAAAAAAAACATTGATTTTGTAGAATTTTATATTGTAATTATTCATAATGATAATTTACCATTAAATATTCAATAAATGAACTATTTATTCAAAAAAATAATTATTTTCATAGGCACGGCTTGTCTTATAAATACAAACAGTTCTATGATTTGCGATGTGTCAAAATAATATAAAACCTATGATAAAGGTCCATTAGCCCACGTCGGAAGCACCGGACACACGGATTAATATTTGCTTTGCCTTGATGCGGTGTTTCAGCACGGGACAATGGACGCGTACCTTAGTAGATCTGTCACAATATTTTTTCATCAATTAAGTTGGTGTGAAACGAAACGTTATCGTAAACAAAAAGAACGTTTCAATATCAAGTTCGATGTTGTAAGCACTCCTTGAGTCGCAGAGTTGAGCCCCTTCGTCCGCAGTGCGAGACGCCACGTGACCGCTAAAACTGCCTTACAAGAATTCGGCATTCGCCGTAGAGGACCTTAATATCTTTAAAATCATCTAAAAATGTAGAGGAAGATGGATCAACTTATTTTAAGATTAGCTTACAGTATAAAAGACATCACAATTTGCTTAGTGGAATTTTCTTTTCAGCGCATATTTATGAATTGAAGTAGGTAAATAAAATTCAAATTTTAGGTAAATGTTATATGGAAGAATCCAAAACTTTTTGAAACTGATTCCAAGGACAAAATCCGTCGCTATCCGCGCTACAGTCTGTCAGCTCCAGGCGCGCCCACAGCGGCGGACTGCCCAGCGACAAGCGAGATGCATTCCGAATATGATCTGTCGATTGATAAACATAATCTAGTTTCAGTAAATCTCGATTCGTGTCCCCGTCGCGCCACTTCTGGAAAACAATTTTCCCTCCAGGCGGCGTGGCTTCATACTGATGAGGCAGCTCGTAGTACTTGAAGCCTAGCGCCGACATCACCGAGTTCAAGTTAGAGTCGTGTCCAAACAGCACCGTCACTTTTCTTGGTGGGTCATGTTCAAACACTGATTTAATATACTGTAATAAAGGCTTCGCCACATCTTTGGCGAGCGCGGTGCTGTTGAAGCGAACGTTTTGATTTTCTCTTATTATCTTGGACAACAGCGCCCACTGCTCGGGTTTCACGATCTTGCCCCACGCCACATCCTCCTCGGCCATGCCTTCGTAATAACTCATAATAAATGAATCCATTACGTTGTTGCTCGTCGCTAACGGCCCCACAATATTAGGTTCCCTTCCGATGACATACACGATCTCATTTTTACCTTGAAGGAAATCACAGAAGTAATCGCTCCTACAAATATCAGAACTTTTCAAATCGATTATATCGTTTAACTGCTTGTAAGCGGCGTCGAGCCTCAATTCTTTTAATTTTTGTGTCATTTCGGAGGTAATTTTCTGTTTGGTGGTCTCGGAAGTGTCGCGCAGGATGGGATTGAACACGGGGTCCATGTCTTCGGAGGGGATGCTGTACGCGCTGATGCTGCAATTTCCGAACGCGCCGCGAACGAAGGCGCGCGCCGACTCTCGCGTGCGTTGCTTCGTGTTCGCGTAAACAAACACCTCATCATCTGCCGGACATCCAGGTTGGAGCAGACCCGTCTCTTTCAGCCATTCGGCAAAATATTCCGCCATGTAACTCTCTAGTAGGGCACCTTTTTCTGTCAAATGGCCGACTTCATTTTTCCACTGGGGCCATTTGTAAGGAGTCGTGTTCTCGAGCCTCGCTGTGAGCGGGGTTCTGATGTTGTGTCTGCTCAGAATGAGAACTTGCTTCAATTTGACACCGTCTATTGTATTCGATAAGCAAACAAGAAGCAATAAAATCACGTATTCGTGTCGTCTTCCCGCCATTTCTGAAGGCCACTCAAATCGTTTTGAAACGTAAACGTATATTAATAATTAACACTCATTAAAATCAAAGAAAAACACGATAAGCAGATTTTTTAATTACTTTGATCATGACATTAATATTGTAAGTTGAATAAGTAGAAAGGTGGTGTTGTAAGGAGCGGCGCGGAGGTGCGGCGGGCGGCCGTCTGGTCCGGTCCGGTCGTGTCTGACACCGCCACCAGTGAGCCAGACTGACTTCGCGGCTTTGCTAAATAGTACGAATATTTCGTCATGCGGGAAATATATTAATAAACTTTGCGACTATCTATCACACCGCAGCGATATGAACTAATCTCTCGTCCCGCCGTTTGTTTGCCCTTGCATTGATATTAGAAATGTCGCAATTATTTCAATTAAATGTAGACGATGAGCATGCTAATACTAAGAATTGAAGAATAGAAAAAAGTCGTACCATGGCGAGTGGCGCACCGCACTGTGGCTGGACATCTACAAGTAATAATCCGTTATTTCTTCTCTCGTGAGTTATAAGTGAAACACTCGTAAAACATAGGAATTGACAGCGTCGTCGAAATAACTATTATTTTTTGTATACTACGGGAAATATGCGGTTGTATTGATCAAGTTGTAAAAACGAATCACGCGTCGGTATAAATAACGTCGCGGTCCGTCGGCAAACGATCGATTGCATTTCATTATTGTTGTTCCGCCTCATGACCGCACAAATGTGATCTCCCTGCTGTGCGGCTGGGGCGTACTCACTGCTACTGCCAATCATCACCTGTTGTTTTAATAGCATTCTTCTGACCAGTGCTATTTTTCTACTAAAACTTTAGAAACGTAAGGATCCCATCACACCAGTGCAGTAATGAGAGGGATACGAATTGGCGATTATCCCTAACGGAACTTGGACTTGTTTTTTAGATTTAACAATTTGGCAATAGTAACAAACTTTTAAATTATTTTCGATTCCCACGACCCATGATGTAATATTTTGTTAGATCTCCAAAAAAAGACTTCGTTACCGGTCTTGTGTGTTTATGTAATAATTCTGACGGTGAGTTCCCGTCTTACGCAACGACAGCTTGTTTGTACGCGATACCATACATTTCTCAATAATATCAATAAACAGTAATATATTTATTTATATATGTTTATTCATAATAAAGTGCAAGTGGGCTAGGACACGTGGCCTGTCTGCAACCTGGTAACCAAACGTGTTAACCTTTTATTTGTACCCCACTCTATCTGATCTCATTTTAAGCTCAGAAATTATCTCAATCTACTTTCAATCTCAGCTTTAGTCTATCTTTGATACACATGTAGATAGATAGATAATAGGAACAGGGAATTGACCATCCTTTAGCGCAGCACTTGATGTGGACCGCCCTTATTTCCTCACAAACAACATTTACCTTTGCTATAGAATTGCCAATTCACTTTGCACAGGCGTTGACATGGTCAAGATGAAGCGACTCGGTCTCAAAAGTACGTGTTTACATATCCTCAATCCTTAGTAATATTATAAATGAGAAAGTAATAAAGTAATGAAACTCAAGTTAGTTGTTAATTAGGAATAATTTTAATGAGTATAAAAGTGTACAGTTGATATTATACTTGATACTATACAAATGCACAGACAAACTTAACTACAAATGTATCAAATATACCAGACACCTTATTTCTCTAACAAACTAGCGGAAGACTATAAATGTAATTCAAATGACTACTACTACTACTGTACTAGAAAATGCTACTCTAAAGTATCAATGTCGCTGCGCTGTTAAAGTGACATACATGTTTGTCATACATGTACTATATTATACTAAATACTTGAAATTAAAATCCGCCAATAATATTGACACTTAAACAATATAATAAAGATAATGTTTAATTATTTTCTGTAGTGTCATAGCTCTGAACATATCAATGAATCTCAACACTCACCTGTGGTGGTGGTACATCTAACCTGAGGTGACGAGGAAACCTTTACATTTATTCCTGACTACAAATGAAAGCGGGGAGAAAGTTTAACCATCATAGTTTATCAATTACAACAACAATACATTTTACAACATTATAATAAGTTAGTATATAAGATAAAGCGAGGAATGTCTATGAGGTGGCCTTGTGCAGCTGCGCCAGCTGGTGCGCCAGGCGCTCCTCGCGCGCGCGTCTCGCCTGTCCCAGAGCACGCTTCTCCGCAAACCTCGTCACAAATGTCTCTACTGGAATGTTGCCTGTAATTCATCATTGCTCACTGAAACATTCACTTACTGAAACAATCTATGTATATAAAGCAATAAATATAAAGACAAGTCTCACCTAACAGGAATTGTTCAGCTATAACCTCAGACTCCTCATCCGCCTTCAATGCGGCCTCCTTGAGGCAGTCGCGGATGCGATGCGGATCATACATCTCCGCCAGCTTCTGGTGCTTCCTGTTGAGCTCCTCATAGTGCATCTTCATCTGCACGATGTTGGAGATGCGCTCGATCACCTCCGACTTAAGCTCGTCCAGCACCTGCTGCTTGGCCATGTTCTCCTGTGCTATCTGCTCTATGCTGTTCATCACCTCTTCTGTCTCTAAATCTAACTCCACCAGCTGTGGATTTGTTTCAAGCAATTTGTCCTGCAATTACAATGGAAAATGCTTAAAGTTGCATTGATACATTTACAATATGCAAGTAATTTAATAGATTATATAATAATCTAAAAACAATTTAAATTATAAAAAAATTAAGCGTACCTGTAAATCAGGGTTTTCCAATATCTCTTGCAATTCATCAATGCTGAGGTCAGAGAGTTCAGGGAACACCATGGACTGAGAGCTGAGCTGCGACTGCGGACTGGTGTCAGTGGACTTGTCTTCCTGGCCCGACACAGCCGGCACCGCTCGCTGGAACTCCCTTGTGATGGCCTGGACAACACGCCCTGGCATGTCGTACAAATTTAAAATAGTAAACAAATATATAACTTATAATAATGGCAAATAGCCATGACCTAGCAATATTATAAATGTGAAAGTAATAAAGGAATGAAACTCATTAATTTGTATAGTGCATTTTTGGACTTTGATAAACAACTTGCAGACATTTTCTTTTACCGTAAAACAGATATAGTTAATTGATTAATACACATTTAGATTTGTAAGTAAATAATTGTAATAATCATATTGTTAATTTAATGTTACTTACCCAAGTCTGAGTGCAGCGTGAAATTAACCAATCCAGGTGCACCAACTACTTGATTTGTATTTTCAGCTATCCAGGGATGAGAAAACACCGGGTTTACGAATATTGCGGGCTTTTCGTTCGGAAACTCCGGACTCAAAACAATATTTAAGCTCATATTTCTCCCTTCGGCAAAAAATTCCACCCTGTACTCGGCATTTTCCTTTATTTCAGTTACGTTAGCGTTGAAAATTTTTAAAGTATCAATTTGTCGCCTTCGTATGTCTTGTTCAGTGTAATAAGGTCGTGGTAGCATTTCTCAACACAATTCAACAACGTTAATAAAGATTTAATATCACTTAAACACGGTTGGAAGATTTGTTGTTAATAAGAACTTGTATATTCCAAAATATTTTAACCTTCACTTAACCTGGAATAATTTTATATTTGTTTTTCTACTTTTTACGACAATAAACACAATTCTAAATAATCGATATGTTCCTTACTTTTCATATATTTTTATTCGAATACAACTTGCATCATAATTGGTTAAAAATTATTCACACTGTCAAATAGAATTAACTTCACCAATAGCGTTAGGGCAGATATTAGTTTTGTAACCAAGAACAAAAACTTCATATATATATTGTCCGTCACCACGACAGATATTAAGCTTTGACAGTTTCGTTTAGAAATTGCAGAAGAACGCTATTAAAGATAAAAACGTAAACATTTTTGAATTATAGTTTTAGATACAAACGAATTAATAACAACAAACCCTAAACTAGAGGGGTAGGCAAAGATTCCATTGGGAGCAGCAACGAATTTAATATTTATTGATTCCGAAGTTTCCTGGACATGAATTTATTAATAATGAATTATTAAGTTAAGTTATTTCAGTTCTTAAATTTGAAAACATTAATATAAAAAGATGCGACGTCCCTCGCCTCGTACCTCGAAGAAAGTCCACTCTGTGTGATGTGCGTGCAGGGCATAAGTACATAAATGACCGCACCGCTGCGCACCATTGCATCCAATTGCACCCACGCACGCAGCACGCATGCAACGATATTGGCAATAAACTTTGTGTCCGGTAAAATGAGTCTTGTCGCAAGGCCGTTGCGCCGTAGCCGCATTACATTTAATTAGTTGTACAACACGCAGAGAGCAATAAGCAAGCCCCTAAATTATCTGTTTGATGATGAAAATCGTTTTTAAATCTGTTTCCAGTTAACGTATACCTTTATTAGGAAGATAATTATAAGTAAATCCAGTGCGTTTGTTGTAATGCTCACGCTGAGCTGAGCCTGTAGCACTGAGCACTGACCCAAATGTCGGCAACATTTAGATGCGGTCGCATTGCGAAATATTGAGCGTTATAAAGTAAGTACTGGCTCGCTATAATTAACTGTTATGGCGCAACCAAACTGCTATCTTGTTTCTAATTTCATCAAAAAACATAATGGTTGTATTATATATGTTTTTATAAGTGAGGAAGAGATCAATCCTGTAGGAATATACATGTGTACATACTCGTATGTAGATGGATAAATTGCAAAAGGTTTGAGCGTCCTCAAATTTTTTTAACTTATAGATTTGATAATCATATTAATCGATGGATGTTTGATAGAATCTTTAGAACGGCTGCGTGGATCTCGCATTGATATAGGACATAGATTTGGCCCAGAACATAGTCTGTAAGAACACATTGGCTACCAAGTTCTTTTAAAAGCGCGCGGATGAAGTCGCTGTCGACAGCTAATAATTATAATATAATATATTTTGTATATTTTTCTATTTTATATATGAAATGTACTCCACTATATTAAGAATATGATAAATTAATGAATACATGAAAAATAATACAACTATTCTAATCATTTGTCGTATAATTTAACTAAAAATGTGTATTTTATTCAAATAGTTAGAGCATAAATAAGGAGTTACAAGTTATTGGTGGAAAGCGCGGACGATGGTCGTAACATAATGCTGACTATTTCAAACTAGGTAAAAATATAATAACAAAAAAACACAGAGTAAGAATATTATTTAACTATTCATCCGCAGCTTGCATTTCCTATTGTTTTTTTATTAAAATATTAAACAGTTTGTAATGTTGTTTTTACTATTTGAATGAGCACCCGCCGTCACTGTTGTTACATTCTTATCATATATGTAATGCTGACTATCATCAGGATGTATTGTTATTAAAGTCAAATACTTTTACTATCCAAAACAACAGATGAAAAGAGTTTACATGAAGGCGGTTAACCTAGTTACGTTGAATAACTAGGTCACTTCACAACTAAGTTTTTTGCTTTAAACTTGAAAACTTGATGTAAATCTTAAGTCAATTTTTATTATAATGTTGTCTTCCAATTATCTTTTTGTACAAATTAAAAAGGTAAAAAAAACCAGCGTCGCAACACGCTTGACTATCAAGTCCATTGATTGTTTCGCCACCGACTTGGCTGACCTACCCGCTGGCCGCTGCTGGCTGTTTCCCGCCACCGGCCGCGGCCGCTTACCATTTCTTTCAAGGTGGGGGTCCGCGCGAGCTCGGTGCCGAGCATGATGATGCGACTTCAATTGTGAACCACAAGCCGGCGCAGGTGCATGGACACTTTCTATAAGCGGCTACGGTCGAATCGAAAAGGACCCATCCGATAACCTAAAAAGCACCGAGAAATTCGACCATTCTTTGCATAATATACCGCCGAGTGCCCACCGGCGATTTTTATGTAATACTCTGTAATAAAGTGTTGTGCAACGATCATTTTGGCCTCATATTTTGGCGGCTCGCGATAGTCAGTCGCCGTCGCCAGCCATGGCCGAAACGGTTGGCGCGCTTTCCTTTTGACAGTTCAGTGACGTTCCTTTACACGGACATCGTTTTTCTTTTGTAGTACAATCGCGAGTGCCAGTGTTATTTATGAATTAGTGCAGTGAGATTTTTATTAAATTCTTGGCATAAACAAAAATTAGGTGAGTGATTGTATAATGCTAATTAAATATTATATCATTGTTTTTGGGCCACGTAATTTATGCAGTATTTCGAAAGGTTTTTTGTGGGTTTTACAAACGAAACTTGTGAAAGTCGACACCGCCACTAGCCACTAGGAAGTAGTATAGTGATAGCAATGCGGCGGTCTTCAGTTGTTTACCGCGACCACCACACCGCACCACACCGCACCGCATCGAACTGCACCGCGATGGGTGTTCGATCGTTAGAAATTGCCGATTGCTTAATTTTGATGTTTTGAATAAGCGAAGGCGAGGTCGGCCGTCGTTTGCGAAATTCATGATACGAGAGCCGCAAGCCGCAAGCCGCAAGCCGCGAGCCGCGAGCCGCGACGCAACCCACTTCGTATACGTAAACGTTATGTCTTCTTGTGTACAGATTAGTGCAATAGCACATTGCAACCTGTTTACAATAACATAATGATAAGATTAACATTCTTATTATTGGAATCAATATACCTTGTAATTAATTGTACATCGACACAGAAAACACATTCAGTAGATGAGAGAGATGAACGATTTCAATAAGTTCAAATTTGATATTATTATACATTATAGATCGCGCTATTTCATCTCTAAGAGTCTCATCTTTTAGAGTTTTTGCTTTTTTAAAACTGCATATACTAAATATATAAATTAAAATCAATCAAGGATTTAGAATTAAATGTTTACTTAAGTGGTATTTAAGTAATTGAGCAATCTTCATTTGTAATAAAGGGCCCTCGTTATTATGTCTCAGAGTGTGAAGGTTAGTCTTAGCTTCGTTTGACCTGTTTATTTTGCAGACGGCATTTTCAGCATTTTCAGCCGAACTTGACTCTGACCCAGATATTATTTTTTTGTTTACAAAAAATCAGCTGTAGTCGGCCAAAGTACTGTATTGGCTATAGCTTTTCTTCCTATATTTTAATACATAATATGTAAGGGAACGGCCTTTCGTAGCTAATATAAGGAGGTCTAGCATCAGGGGACAGAATCAAGATATATGTTAAATAAATAAACGGCCAGTATGTTATTGCTATTTATTATTTCCTCGGAAAACGTCATAGCTTGGAAAACCAACGCAGAATACAATGTGGAATTCAAAGTGTCATTACAATAACAGTCGCATCCTATAATTGAAACGTTGTCCCTTGCACCGGTTACGAGACACTGTGTTATTCAATACTAAAATGATTTAAAATTAAGGTCAATAATAAAATGTGTCTGATTTGCGAGTTCCGCGCTGTGTTTTGTCAACATTTCTGTCTGTTCCGCCTTGCGCAATACACACCGCCACATCGCCACATCGCCACATCGCCACACCGGCACTCACTCTTGTTCCTGCACGCTATTTGTAATCATTTATATTGCTAATGTCACCACTCATCACGTTGTGCTTATTCGAGGTCAGTAGAGTTTGCATTTCAATACTGCACCGTCGATTATTGTTTTTTTTTTTTTTATAAGAGAAGGGGGGCAAACGAGCGGCAGGGACACCGAGGTGATCAACGACACCCATGGACATCTGCAACATTAGAGGAACTAAATGTTATGTTATGAAAAACCGTCGATTATTCATATCATTTTTAAAAATGGTATATATTGTATTAAATAAGTAATTAGTTCTCTAACAGAACGTGGTTCGGGCGCGCGTTAATTAAAAACTTTGAATTACATAAGACATTGCGGCCGCGCGGCGGTTATTTAAGCCGGCGTCAAATACGAGCCGCGAATCGGGTTCAAGTTCACAGCGAGTGCCTTGCGGATGGCGAATTGCGGACTGCGGACGTTTTCACTCCATGTTCCGACGGCGCGGCGCTTGCGCAATGCGGCCCACACTGCCGAGGCTCCCCTGCCACCAGCAATGCTCCAACAACTTCTATAACTTTCCACGCTACCTCCACATTCCTAGAGTCTTCGATGCCTAATCTTGGGACTGGTTTGTGCAGTGTAAACCACGGATATAAAATGTTATAAAAGTTTTTATTCATCAATTAATAAAATAATGTCATAAGAATGGAGAAGTATAGTGCGGATGGCTGGCATTACACAACGGTGCGATTCTCGCGCAATTTCTTGCCTCGCACAGCCGCGTTGTGGAACAGTCTGTCTTCGGCGGTATTTCCAAACCAATACGACTTAAGGACCTTCGAGAAGCGATCATACCATTTCCTTAAAGGCCTGCAACACATCTGCAATTACTCTGGTGTTGCATATGTCCATGGGTGTCGTTGATCACGTCGGTGTTGCCGCCGCTTTTTTGCTCCCTTCTCTTATAAAAAAGTATTAGTGTCTTGTTTGATGTTATGTGACTGGTATGGAGGGATGTATTTGAGCAGTGGCCGAGCAACAAGCAACGTGTTCACCGGGCGGCAGGCGTCTGGCGTAGACAGAACAGTGCTACGGGCTACGAAGCGGCTCCATAGCTTACTGTAGCCCGCGGGCCTCGAATCTTAATCGTTACCAATTCTCTCTGGAACCAATCTGGAAACAAGGAGATTCAAATACAATACGTAGTTTAGAGTACACATTAGGTAAACTTTCCTTCATTTACTTTTGAGCCTACTCAACAGTAGCCCTGTATAAAATGGACAAGAACACGTGTTGACATATTTAGTTTAAATTAAGGTATTTTCGCATTAGGTGTCCACGATTGTCATCAAAATAAATAATCTCGCAACTATCGGGCGACTGCTTCATCAGTATGGCGTACTGTGACTCGACGATTTCATCTTTGCTGATATTTATTCACTATCGCTATGTTTAGCTATCTCGTGATAAATAACCAAACAAATGCATTTATTTCACAAATTGTTTATTCAGTAGCTCTATCTATTTATGTATAGACAAAACTAGAACTAAATTAGAACATAGCATATACATATGTACATATATATACACATAAATTAAAACTAATTAAGGATATAGTCGACAGATGGCTAATAACATATAATATTAGCGATGTTTTATTTTTACCGCGCTATTTATTTAACGTAGGTCTGTTTGTATGCAACTATACAATATTTACACGAACAACATTTTATTTACTTAAGATGGCCGAGGATACCGCCCGCCTCACTATGACACGTACTCGTCAGATCCTTATCATTTTTAATAGACAAACATATAAGTTTCACATGAAGGAAATTCATTAAATCAAAATAATTTTAATTGAACCCCTCAATCAGCATATTCTGCAAATTGGAGAACAATAAAGAGTTCTGCCCCAGAACTCTGCCGAGTTGTGCTTAGGACAGAGTAGGCGTTTACAAATAGTTCTGTTGTGCCGTGTGGAGAATTAAAGTTTGTATAAAGTTTTAACTACAAAAAGCTAGCCTGCTTCCACTATGCCGCGTCGCGCCGCGCCCTTTACAGAAATATTGTGCGTCCTTCAAACTACACATCTCGTATACAGCCAAATTCGTTTTAATAATATTACTACTTTTGCCAAATAACCTTTTTAAAATTTTGATTTTTTTCAATGAATTACAACGAATTTTAAGATCGATGTACCGAGACAGGTGGTTCTAGAAAATTTCCCAAAATTGTAATGAGCTGGCTCTGATGTTAAGTACTTTCATTATTATATCAATATGGATAAATAAAATTACTGTTTCTATATTTAAATTGACAATAGTGTCGTTTATAACAAAAAGAAAAAAACTATTCTTAAATTTTTCCTCATTTGTGTGTCTGTCAATCTCTACGCAAGTACTTACTTGGAATTGTTCAAATAATATTATACAATTGTGTAACTTTTCAACTAATTTTATAATATTATATAATTTATAATTATTAATTAATAAATTATTACAATGTATTGTAATGATTTCACTTAATGTCACAATTATTATCATTTAGAGTGCAAATAAATTTATATTTCACATAAAGGTTAGGTTAGGTTAGGTTAGGTTAGGAATTGAAGCGGTAGGACTCCCCACGTGTTCCGGGGAGTCCTCGGCGAAGGTCAACGGCGCCTTCTCTTGAAGGCGTCGTCGCCGAAGGAGGGCCCGCCGCATGTAATGTGGCGGGCAATCCGCAGACGGGGCTGTGGTGGTGTGCTTTTGCGTTCCCACAGCCCCGTCCCAAGCGGGAAGGAGGAACACCGTTGGGTTTTGGTGAGTATACCCGGCGCCCCTATTGACGCCGGAGGAGCTTCACATAACCGCCCGCCACCCCGAAGGGCGGGCGGTATGCTTAACACATTTCCCAACGAAAAAAAAAAGGAATTGAAGCGGTGCGCCGCGATGTAGAGAGGTGAATGCGTGGAACACACATTTGTGTGTATGATGTTTACCGCGCGCTCCATCAAATACAAACTTTTACTTTTTTCCAACCAGAATTGTTATTTTGTCAAACAACTAAGAATATTCTGAATGCGAATATTTGGATGGATGGATGGTTTAATTAAAGTTCTACACGAAGGCAGGATTTCACGCGAATGAAGTTGTGGGCATACCAACGTACAATTTTTTTTAATAATTTTTTCTTTAATTTAGAGGAAGTCGCGGGCAACTGCTAGTTTTAAAGAAAACAAACAAATATAAGTAAATAAATAAATAAATGAATTGTCTTATTCCTCTGTTCACTAGTTTTAACTTATTTATTTATGGTACAAAGTAAAATAAACGGTTATTTTTCGTTAAGTAAACTTAACGGACTTGATATAAGAAGGTTCGCGCGTCAATCGCGTTTAGTGTCGTAATGTGCTCAAAGCGACAAACTCCTCGCATCACTTACTGCTTCTAACTGTGACCGGGTGAGTCTTTAATAATAATTATTATATTACATGTATATTTCATTGTATACTACTAAACAAAAGTATAAAAATCACAAACATAGATATTATACTTTCCGGCGAACCTAGTAACTGATTCGTCTTGTGTTTGTTTGTTTGTGTTTCTCTTATTTCTTGCTCTACTTCTTTCCACATTTAAATTACAAAGATACATACATCATCTACCTGTTAGTGGCATTAGTGCAGTGTCATTAATTGTTGCCCTCAATAGACCACCCCTAAGTTAGGGTAGGCACCAACACCCTCAGTGTAGACCAATACTCAGCTAAATATCGATGTAAGCTGTTCTCTGCTATTGGCTGGTTGCAAATAAAATAATGATTGTAGTTGACAGTTCACATCGCGCAAATAAAATATTAAGCTCATATCAAAATCAGGAGTAATTCAATGTCGTCTTTTTACACCATTATAATGGCATTTTATTACATTTCTATAAATAACATTATTAAACTTTTACTATTAAGTGTAGTGTTGTAGTAGTACGTACTATTAATTTGCTACAAGAATATCTTTTAGCAAAGAAATGACGCAAAAATATATATTTTTAAACATATTATAAATGCGAAAGTTTAGATGTTTGTTACTACGATCTCCAGAACGGCTAAACAGATCTTGATGAAATTTTGTATACATGTAGAACACAGAAGACATAGGCATGGTTATAGTTAACTTAATACTGTTCCTTTAACTTCACAAAAAGCTAGTCTATCAATAAACCTCTGCTAGGACAACTGTATATAATGATGCCAAACACATGCGTAACTTATACACACTCTGCTGTTATAACTGGAGATATGTAGCGAGCATTACAGTCGCACTTACACTGACGCACACAAGTGCATTTATGGACGCTTGTTTATATTGGATTGTGATTATATTTGATTGTGATAAGGTATGATGATGTCCGCCTACCTTCCTTCGCTTCGCCGTTGCCGCGGCAGCTATCTGCAAAACGTGCTCAAATGCGATACACTCAGGCACGTTTGTCATATTGAACGTACGCATTGTGGGATAGTTACAAAAGCAACGATGTACGATTCATTTGGCGCACAGTACATACGTCTCTAAACCTCAGTTCACCGCATTTCCTTTGAGAACAACCGACTTCATGTAGTTTAAGTATTAGTATAGTACCGGGTAGCTAAAATGTGCAAAGAGGGTATGTACATAATATGTCGAGACCTATAACTAGTGTTAAAATGTCTCAGTTCTTCAGAGTAATGTCCGTAAAAAAAAAACTTGTCCAAAAGTTGAGTCATCACAGGAGACGCATGAGTTTACAGTTATAAACGCTACTATAGTAAAAGCATCAGAGTAGTGTAACGGCGATAAATAGATGATAATGTGATATTCCTCGCTGGTGTCGTGTTTTGTACGTAATGTGAGGGCAGTTAGCCTAGTTGCGTCGCGCCGCGTTACGTGCGACCTGCGACGTGCTCGTGTGACGTCAGCGGACATGTAACACCTTGTTATGTTTATTGTCCAACATCTTCCTGAGCAGCGCACTGTCACACCGCGTGCAGACTTCTACACGAGTGTTGCTGCAATAATAAAACTACCAGTCACGGCCTTCCCAACCTGCTATCGACATTGTACCTCATGGATTAAACGCAATCCACGCCCCTGACAAACTAAAGCCAAATTACTAATTTAACTATGTATTTAGTTTAATTTGTAAAACAGCAAAAAGTCCGCAGTCGGTAGGATTCGAACCTACGCTCCCAGAGGGAATCTGATTTCTAGTCAGACGCCTTAACCGCTCGGCCACGACTGCCGCTACTCGCATCCACTTAAAAATAATTCAAGTTTTTTTAACGTGACGTAGTATTTTCTTGAAGGATATTTTATTCTTGTTCTATGTCCAACACAAATGATGCTTATGTAATAATCAATATCAGTAAATATTAAAAGTGTCTGTAAATTTCTTCGCGATGTTTATCTCGCGCTAAACTCCGTCCGTTATTTCCCTTATTTAACTAAATTAAATAAACACTTGATCATAGCGTAACAACAAATAAATAACTGTACAAGTCAATAATTGACTCTAAATGTTTTAGACAATACGTTTTATATACAGCAAGTACTCGTAATAACGGACTTATAAGAGTTTGAGATTGGAGGTCAACAAACTATAAGTAGGTCATTTGAAAAAGGAAAATTGACATGAATTATTATTTTCAGCGTAATCTTTCACTTATGTATTGATTGATATAAAACGTACTTTAGAAACGTTTTAAAAAGAAAAAAGTTAAAGCGATGGTGTAATTTATACACCAAAAGTAACAACGTCGAGCTGGAATATGGAAACACAATGATTGTAGCTCCGTCCCCAGCTCATGTTGTTACGCGATCAAACCGTATGTGCTCATACTTCTACCTCTGCAGACGAAAACACGACAAGACTGTATCAATGATCCACAATCCATTCGTTAACTATTTTAACTTTGACCTTGGTGTCTGTATTTTCTGACATTTAAACTTAATCCGTACTCTAATACAATGTTATCTTTGTCCGCAGATAATGACGTCATGTTAGAAAGTATCTGTCGACAGAATGGCCAACACTAAAACAATGCAGACGTGCGCAGACGTGAGAGAGATGAACAACATTAACAATAAAGTCAACCAGACGCACACGCAGACAGGAGAGCCTGTAGAGGTGGACGGTGTTGACAATAACATTAACATTGTTGATAAATACTGCGCCGACTGTACGGAGCAGGAGAGGGTCGGCGAGCACGCCCCCGCCCCCGCCTTGTCAGACATACAGCAGTTCTACCACGGCAAGAATGTACTTATCACAGGAGCCACTGGTAAGTGTTTCTTGTTATATAACTGAAGCTTTATTCTGTAAGGGCAGCGAGTACTTACTCGTGTTTATAATCCACAATGTAAATAAAGTAACCATAGATAAGAAACAGTGAAGTAGTTACTATAATAATAAAAGTTCACTCAACTAGATAATAGTTCTAAGTCAAGGCGTCATTTTGTCACTGTTTAGTCTTTTCCGATCAGTAAAATATAAGGCGGTTATACAATCTCTTATTGAATATAACAATGTAATGCCAAAACTTGTTGAAGGTCTTCCATGTTTACCCAAATACAGCTAATAGGCAGACTCGGTCGCGCCTCGGGGCTAGGGCTAAGGTCGCTCTGCGCACGAATTTATTCATAATTTGTATCCAAGGACGGGCTTGTAATTTTTCTTCTTATCATAGATAGTGATATTTTTTATTAATTTAAAAAGTGTAGAGCATAGGGGCATAGGGGGGCATACAGACATAAAGCATAGCAAGTGAGGCAGTGCGTCCGCGTCGCGACCTTGGCCCAGTGGCCGCGCGGTGACGTAACTGTGCACTCGCGCGCCAAATGAAAGCTTTCCTTTTCCCCCCGCCTCGCCCCGCTCACCGCACCGCCACAAATATCACGCAATCATTATGCACGTGTTTTAACATTTAAATGACATCGATATGGTGATGATGTCAGCTTTATAACATAATTGACATTATTAGCTAACTAAACTATGCGTCGCGGGATTATGGACCTATGACTTATGGATAGTGGATGAAATATATCACGAAATATACCGGTGCTGGTACAATAGTGGTGACAATAGTAACACATTAAACAACCAAAGAACCCTAGTAATGCTTTCCCATCTATTCTAGTGTCTTTTTGTTGTGTAGGCTTCCTGGGCAAGATCCTGGTGGAGAAGCTGCTGCGCTGCTGCCCCGGTGTCGACAACCTCTATCTGCTGGTGCGCCGCAAGCGCGGCCAGGACATCTACTCCCGCCTCGAGGACATTTTCGAAGATCCCGTAAGTATCGCCCGCCAATGGTCCCCATACACTGCTCGTCATCCTTTGTTATTAATATCCTTGTCTCGGCCAGGAAGTACATTGTATATCTATATCCGTATTTTTCCGTTCCAGTTAGATGTTTTAACAGCGACGACTCTTGTGATGCAACACAAATACTAACTGGTTCACACTAATTAAACAGTCCGGGGTCACGACAGAATTCATTAAGAACCACTTTCACTTGCTTCGCTCATCTTGTTGAGTTGTGAACAAATTGCCGCGTTCCAAACGTATTATTTAAACGGATAAAAACATCGCAGAGCTCGAGCAAAATAATCTTAATTATTTATTTGTGTTGAACTAGTTGAATTATTAGTAAACTCTACCGGAGATAAGTAAGTAAATGCATTGTTTACATTGTCTGGTCTGCTTCATGATTTTGCACATGGAATATGTAATGTAGGATCCTTAGAAGTGTACAAATTATAATAAATTCTCATATTTATAAAGTACTTGACTTGACAATACAATATATTGAGTGAGGTTCTCCAAACCTTTGACTTCAGTTAGATGTGGCAAACAAGCTAGAGGTCAAACTAATCCACTTTAATGTAATAAGCAGCGGCGCAGTGGCACTGTTGTCCACTGGCACTGCGACACTATTGCCCCCCGCGACTGACACGCGTGACAACACAGAGGTCAATGTCACTACAACTTCACATACTCTGATAGTGACGTCACAGGTTTCCCAATCCTTACTTACTGCCTTACTTATGTTTGCTTTTAAAAGGTGTTAACAGTTATTACCACAGAAAAATAAACATTCACACATCTACTTCAATAGTCTGTGCGATGTTACACACAAACTTACAATCCTTCTATTATAAATTGTTACATGAACTTTAATCAGGTACGCGCCTTGACCTCTTAGATTACTAACGCGAGGTGAAGTGATCGTAACCAGTGGAAACATCTGAGCGAAAATCGGTATATCGACATCGCTCTGATGTTTATTTAACATCATACATTCATAAAAAATATATAACGAAGGTTAAATATGCAGAAACATATATTAATATGGCGAGATACATTGGAGAGAGCTGGTCTTAAAATCAGTAGGACCAAAACAGAACATTTATTCTGTGATTTTGGTGGTCCGACCAGCTTTTCTCCAATTGCTTTAAATGGTGTAAACCTACCAACCTGCTCCGATTTTAAGTACCTCGGTTCACTCGTCCAATACGACGGCGGTGTTGACCGGGATGTGAAAAGCCGAATAAATAATGCAGGTTGGATGAAATGGCGACAGGTCACCGGTGTGACTTGTGATCCAAGAATGCCAATGAATGTTAAGGGACAGATCTACAAGTCCATCGTAAGACCTGTCGTATTGTACGGATCTGAATGTTGGGCCACCAAGGTTTCGGATGAAAGAAGATTGCATGTAGCTGAAATGCGTATGTTAAGATGGATGTGTGGTGTGACAAGGAAGGATAAAGTTAAAAATGTGTATATTAGAGGAAGTTTGAAAGTAGCGCCAGTGATCGAGAAATTGAGGAGTAAAAGATTAGCGTGGTTTGGACATGTTATGAGGAGGGATGATGATGATATAAGCAAAAAAGTAATGAGATTGAATGTGGATGGCTACAAGGGTAGAGGAAGACCAAAAAAAGTATGGAATGACTGTGTGAAAGAGGATATGCGTAAGAAGGGGGTAGACTCGGATATGACGGCTGATAGAGATGTATGGAGGAGTAGTACATGCTGTGCCGACCCTCGATAGGGATAAGGGCAGGTTGATGATGTTACAAATGCAGAGTTCATTTACATGTTCATGCTGCAACGACCTGCTTAATGACAATTTCATGCGAGGTTTGTTAACTTCCACGTATAATATTATAAGCAGTAGAATTGTAAGGTAGAGGAATAAATGTACTTTTAACTAATTTAGTATCAATGTTGTAATATTGACATTTTATTGAAAAATGCGTTGCATAAAATTATGCATCGTATATAAAAGAAAATGTTTAATAGTTTTTTTTAATAAGTAATTGTACATAGTTTAATTTTATTACCGCATTGTGTCACTACAGAGTAACATTGTCACACGTAAACGACATGCGCACTCGTGTCTTGTCACCTGCACACCTGCACTCCTCCACACCGCCGCGCTATAAATCAACATCCTCCATAAAACAAGCGAAGGATTTTCCTTTGCAAATGTTTATTCAACGATAACAAATCTTCTTTGAAGTTCATCTTCATCGCTGTGTTAATATTTATCTTGTCTATTTGTTCTAATAAACATAAGCAACAACTAATATGTAAGAAAGCAAATAAACGTCGCCGTAAAAGGAAACTAACGAGGTAAATACTGATCGCATCCTCTCTCGATACATTATTTGAAGGAACAAATGTATCTATTTCAACATCTTAGTTTTGGTTCAAAAAGATATATTGCTATGAGAGAGGTTTGTTCCGAAATGTTATGGTAACTTATGTTATTAAACATTCATATATATAATGTATTATAATATATTGTGATAGCACAGAAGTAGCAAGGAGTAAATTGTGAGCTGTTGGTATTTTGTAGTGAAGTAGGTATGCATTGTTTGGTTGTTGCAGGTGTTCGACCGGCTGAAGGCGGCGCTGCCCAAGTTCAGGCACAAGGTGGTGGGCGTGCCGGCAGACTGCGCGGCGCCTGGCCTCGGCCTCTCCCTCGCAGACAGGCAGCTGCTTACTGAAAAGGTGCTACAGATTTACTGCACTCTCAGGATACAGCTTTTTACAAATTGAAAATAATTTAGGAAACCGATATTATATTATAAAATATCTTTATTTGATGATAAGAGAATCATCATCTCGCACATATTTTTTGAGTAGAAAACGCGACGTACGAACGCTATTACGTTACGCAACCACGAGAACTTCTGACCGATTTACAAACGCGTTGAAATCTTTTCCTAGCATAAAGATTAGGTGTAGGAAAGTAAATATTGAATACGATTTACGCAGCAAAGTCTAAATTAATCTAATCTCTTAAATAAAGTTGCTGAAAACATTAGTTTTCTTATTTAAGACAACGACATGAATGTTTGATTTGTTCAAGTGCGTAACGAGCTTCACTACGTATGTATGTAATTAACTATCTTAACATATTACTTTCGTTTCAATTGGTGCAGGCGACATAGCCCGCGATACATTTACCACTGTCTTTGATGATGCATGACGATCTTGTATGAGTTAATATTTGTGAACGTGTGTCGCAATGCTGAGTGCTCGGGATGCAGGTGAACGTGATGTTCCACTGCGCGGCGACGGTGAAGTTCGACGAGCAGCTGCGGGCGGCGCTGGCCACCAACGTGCGCGCGCCGCTGCATCTGCTGCGCCTCGCCCGAGACATGCGCGCGCTCGATGTGAGCCACTTACATACATATTGCATGTCGCTTTGAGGAGGACTTAATATTGCTGGTGATGCAGCGAGTGAGACTTTGCAGTGAGATGTATGCGGGATGCGCAGGTGCTGATGCACGTCTCCACGGCGTACTCCAACTCGCACCTGGCGCACGTGGAGGAGCGCTTCTACCCGTGCGCCGCGGACACCGACCGCCTGCAGCTCGCCCTCGATAACATGACGGATGCGCAGATCGACCAAATGCTGCCCACGTAAATATATACTATATGCAACAAAATCGCCTTTCAAATACGGGATCGTCTTTTCAGGTTTCACATGAACAAGAGTGTTCTCATCACTCACACCATTTTTCATCTCTATGAGAACTATTCTGTGTATAACATAAAGAGATATCAAGACAAAAAATACAAGATCACAGCTGGCTAGACTTGATATCCAAGATGAATATACTAAAATGACGAGGCAATCATTGAAGTTGAGAAGAGATACATATGTCAGATTATTGAACTAAACACAGAAACAATACAACAGAACATTGTGTATTTAATATGTTATTGTAGCGTGTGTTGCGTGTTGTTGCAGCATCCTGGGCGAGTGGCCCAACACGTACACGTTCACCAAGGCGCTGGCGGAGAAGGAGCTGCGTCTGCACGCCGGCGACGTCCCCCTCGGCGTCTTCCGCCCCGCCATAGGTCAGCGCGCAAACACGTTGCACCGATTTACGTACAGAACTAGCAGCACTATACCACTCCCGCATCGACGTGACAAGAGTCGCTGCTAATGTTTCTTATAAATAATTGATAACGGTATTTGTTTTCAGTGACATCGACTGCCAAAGAACCTTTGAAGTGTTGGCTGGACAACATGTACGGCCCAACCGGCGTCGCAGTCGGCAGCGGTACGTTCACTAATTTTTTTTTTAATTCACAAGGTGGCAAGCGAGCGAGCGGCCACCTGAAATCGCTGATACAGCGAAGTGACCGTTGCCCATAGACATACGCAATTGCATATACGTTGCCTACCTTTAATCCACGGAGGAGAGGATGCACAGACAGAAAATATTTTCCCTTTCCATGCATCCTCTCATCCGGAAAGTCCAATTCCACTTCCCATCCTTTCCTAAAAGAAAAAGGGTGGGAAGGAAAAGAGGACTACATAAGGCCTCCGGGACGCACACTCATCAGACGAAACGCGGAATTGCTTCCACTTCACGCGTGTCTTCTGTGTGGTCGTGGTATTTCACCGGGCGAGCCGGGCCGATTCGTGCGAAGATGTTAAAGCGGGCTCTACCACTGTCAAACTGTGCAAACTTTCTATTTACCATAAACGTATGGTCACATTTATATTTTCACTGCACTAATTTTCACCAAAACTAAATACTTAAAACATAGTAAGTAGATATAGAAGTTATATTTTCCTAATGGAATGTTTGTTATTATGTTGTGCAGCGACCGGCATGCTGCGCTCGCTGCAGTGCGACGCGCGCGTCACGGCGGACCTGGTGCCCGTCGACTGCGTCGTGAACTGCCTGCTGGCCGCCGCGCGCAACGTGCACCTCGCCTACGCCGCCGGGTGAGCGTCTGCACACGCTGCACGTGCTTCACACCCTGCACGTGCTGCACACGCTGCACATCCTGCACGTGCTTCACACCCTGCACGTGCTGCACATGCTCAACACGCTGCACATCCTGCACACGCTGCACACCCTACACTCCCTGCACATGCAGCACACGCTGCACACGCTGTATTGTAAGCTCTTTGTATTGGTAACGCAACCGTTTGCCCCACAGTTCACCACCGCCGGAGCCGCCCATCTTCAACTACGTTAGCTCCGTGGAGAACCGCATCACGTGGGGCGACTTCAAGCGGCACAACTTCGCACGCATCGACTCTCAGCCCTTCTCCAACGCCGTCTGGTGAGTCTCACGCTGCACACCTGGCCAGTGGTGTTATAGCGTTGTCCGAGGAGTACCACAATGTGTGTGTGTGTTTGTGTCTCAGGTACATATCGCTGCAGCTGACGCGGAGCGCGCGACTGCACCGCGTGTACACGCTGGTGCTGCACCTGGCGCCCGCCGCGCTCGTCGACGCGCTCGCCCTCTGCCTCGGTCGCAAGCCCAGGTACGTGACCCGCTACCGCCCGTTACCTTTCTTGTGATTCCGCTGTCATCACATGACATGTACAAGGGCCGTCTCCATCTCCGCCGCAGGATGCTGAAGGTGTACACCAAGATCCACAAGTTCTCCGAGGTGATCAGCTACTTCTGCACGCGAGAGATCACCTTCTGCAACCGCCGCACGCGCCACCTCTGGGACGCCACCTCGCAACTCGACAGACAGGTGACCGATTTGCTGGAAGGAAATGATCAAACTGTAGCAGTCGGTGTATGATTGTGTAATTCAATGTGAGCGTTTGCGTGTCAGCTGTTCCCGTTCAGCATGGCGGAGGTGGACTGGGAGGAGTACTTCGACGACTACCTGCTGGGCATCCGCCGCTACCTCTTCAAGCAGACCGACGACTCTCTGCCGCGCGCCAGGATCAAGTGGAAAAGGTACGGAAACCGATAATTCTAGTCCCAGTTGACATCGGAGCGACCGAGTCCGTGGCATTACTCACCGGTGCATTGTTTTGTTGCAGGTTATACTATCTGCATCAGATAGTCCGAATTATTTTCTTCGTGTTGTCTCTGTACGCGGTCTGGTGCGTGTTGGCTCTCATTTGGTGATACAGACGACGCGAACATTCGGCTGGATGAATGTTTGCCGCCGGCGGCCGCCAGATGGCGGGAATTTGTAAATAAATGCGACGACCACAGATAATTAAGTTTACTTTTAACAGAACCGGACACTGGCGCCGCACCGCGCCGCGCCGCACACGGACCCACACAATGTTTCACTTTAAGTACCTTCGCTATCGGCGGCAGGCGCTATTACCTCCTCTAATATTGCTATTCAAATAGT